TCGGCGTCGTTCTCGGCAGCTTCTAACGCCGCAACTGCACCGTCGAAGTCGGTCACAAGTAGCCGACGACGCTTTTCCCACATCACGAAGCACGCTGACGGAAACTGGCCGCGCAGTGACGAAATGTTGATGCGTGACGCACCGAGAACGACGCCATTGGGCACCGTGCACGCTGGCCACGGCGCGTACACGACATCACCGCCAGACATAGAATAGGCGAGACTGATTTCAAACTTCTTGGACGCTGCAACCGCCGTGACGAACCGAATGTCGGTGGCGCAAAGCTCTTCAAACGCGAGCCACGTCGATGGCTGGGTCAGCAAGCGACCGTAGAATGACGCTGTAAACTTGAACGCTGATGCCGGGATCCATGCAGTGACAGCCTCGGCGTCCGTCGGCGGCCCACAGCGCGAGTGCGCCACTGGGTCCTTGTACACGAGGTTGAAGACCAAGAGGACACGGACGCCTCGTGTAATCGGCGACACGGTGACGGGCGTCGATGCATACACCGCGAGGAGTCCTTGGGGCGACGTCTGGACCTCGGTGCTGTCGCCGGCCGCGGAGTCTGGTACTCTGAACATGCAATCCGAGGCTACAGTAATGGCGCCGCCTTCGTAGCTCGATGGCAGACACACGAAAAGACGTCCAAAGTACCCACAAGGCGGCGCGTCGATGGGCTCCAGGCTCTGTGTGCTCCCAATCGCGTCCAGGGCGACATGCGACAGCAGCACGGTGTACGGGCCTTCAGGGACAAGGCGGTCTTTCAGTAGTCGGTGCACGTGCGGAATTCCGCCGACAAACAGTGCACGGACGTTTGTGGCGGGGATCGATCTCGAGCCATGGTGCGCGACCACGGCAGCTGCGACGGCGTCGGACATTGGAAGCTCAATGAGCTTGTTGTTGATGTGCAGGTGGACTTTACGGTCAGCATCAATCATCATCGCATACGCCCGCGGCGCCCAAGGCGGTTTCTCTGCTTCGCCGCTGGTCATGCTTCTCGACGTGTTCGATTGTGATCGATCCACATGCGATGCTGTTGAATGTCACCGATATTTACTGTGTAACCTGATACTCACTATAAGAGGTTTGGTCGCTTGGCTGCGTCATTTTGCGCTCGTCCAGCAACAAGCATCGTCAGCATGCGCGCCAACCTCGGCTTCGACTGGTTCTTCATCGGCTACTGCCTCATGAGCCTCACGATCGCCATCATATGCGATGCCGAAGCCGTCTTGCACGACCCTGCCACGTACGGCAAGGTGCGTATGTCCCTACCGGTCGACCCCTCACACGTCTCGGGCAGGTTGAGCCCCTTGTAAACTGGCCGCCGCAAGCCGTCGTGCTAGCGCTGCATGATTGGTGCCGGCGCTTTGACCCACTCTTGGGTGCGCGTCCGCTGTGGTTCTTGGTATGTACTTACTCTCTTCGTCTTGTCATGTCCTCATCATCATGGCAGGTGTGCTTTTACATGGAGATGACGCTCCAGGTGCCGTACTACATTGCGGCGACGTACGCCTTCCTGCACGGTAAGACGCGCCTACTTCTTTGCGTCCTCTCGACGACAGCTCTGCAGGCTGCGAATGGATCCGCGTCCCGACGCTCGTCTACGCCTCCATGTCGATGACCACGATGATATCCTTTCCATGACCTTGCCTGCGTGTTTCAAAGACACAAGTTGTTTCCTAACATCAGTAGGCGCACGCCATCGTCCTCGTCGAGCAGTTCTTTGGCGAGTTTGCGACGCCGGCGCCGCTCGTGATCCTCGGTTCGTACCTTCCCTTTGCGATCGCACCCGTCTTCTTCCTCTACCGCGCGCGTGGCACGACCATGTTTGCGGCCAAGACCAAGCAGGCGTAAACAACCATGGCAAATGATGCAGCAGCTTAGACTATCATAGTCTACGCAATGAGACTCTGGCTCTTCTCGACAGTAAAGTTGATGCCGCGGGCTTGGAGGCGCTCGATGAGCGACGTGTTGCGGAAGGCAGCGCCGGGCGTGAGCACACCACCAGTGATCGGCACCTCGCCGTCCAGAACGACCCGCGCGGCGCTCACGACCATGCTCGACGTCGCCACGTATCCGGGTTCGGGGCCGTCGACGCGCGCAACGACCTCCCAGTCGTGTGACGCGTTGATCGTCATCTTGTCCTTGTAGCCCTTGGCAAAAAAGCGGTGCGAGAACCCGCTGTGCGCCATCTCGTCGGCGCTCGGCCCGGCGTGCGTAAAGTACCCAAACGTAAACCACCCGGGGTGCGCAATCAAGAGGCGGCGACCGGCCTCGAAGCGTCCGAGCACATAGAGCGCGAGGCCGCTGAGCACGAGCGGCACAAAGCTAAACGCGCTCGCAAACGTCGCGTAGACGGCGAATTGCGTCGGCGGCGTCGGCGACTGGCTCACCACGAGGTGCTTTTGCGTCGCGCGCACCACGGACGCGTCGGCGCCGAGGAATTTCAAAATGTACTTCTGGACGCGCGCGTCGTAGCCCACGTTGCGCAGCGTCAATCGAGGACCAAAGTACGGCACCTGGAGACATGCATATATGTACAAGTTGTCATGCCACAAAGTTGTACCTTGACCGCGTTGGCTTGGCGGAGGCTCTTGAGATCGTCGGCCGCCGCCAGCCCGCGGACGATGCACTCGTACGTTGTCGCGTGGCCGCGCTTGCCGTGCATCGAGATAAACGCTTCAACGCTCGCGCAGGCGCCGCCGGACGGGAACTGGTTCGTCACAAACACCGTGCCCATGTCTGCCGGAATCGAGTCAAAGCCGCACGAGTGCACGACCAGCGCCTTGTTCTGCTTGGCCGTCGCGTCGTAGCGCAGCGCCATCGTCTCGATGAACTGCGGCTCGCCGGTAATGTCGACGTAGTGTGTACCGGCCTCGACGCACACGCGCACGACCGGCTCACCAAAGAGGCGGAACGGCCCCGTGCAGTTGACCACGAGACGCGTCGACGCTGCCATCGCCGCCATGGCTGGACCGTCAAAGACGTCGGCAATGACGATTGGGATCGCTTCTGTAGAGCCTGTTACCGCCAGCACATGCGCCCGCGTCGCTACCACCGGGACATGAGAATAGATGTGCACTCTTGCACTATTACCTTCGAGCTTGGCTTGGGACCGACCGGCCAAGGCCCAGCGGGAGCCGGGCGCGGCGGTCTTGGCCCACTCGACGGCGATGTACTGGCCCGTAAAGCCCGAGGCGCCAAAGATCACTGCGTCGTACTCGCGCATGCTGCTTCTGAGACGACGACTTGAGTTCTGAGCGGAGACATCGTTTCGTCAACGTAGCGTTGAGGCTACGAGCACGCAACATTACGCAATTCCATGCGTGGATCCGAAGCCCAAATGCATCCCATGAAGCGAAACATCCTAAGAATCCACTGGTACTCTTAACTGTGAAGCCAAAGGGCCTCGTAGACTTGAGGCAACTCCGCCCGTACCAGCCTGGTGAAGCCTTGGCGAGCTTAGAGCACGTTCAAGTAGCCAAACCAGACTGGATTATGGACCAATTAAATCACTGCTATTCAAGGAACCGATTCCCATTGGCTCCTTGGAATATGGATGGACGAATGAGCAAGCGCGATCCGCGTCCATCGGGCAGAAAAGCGTTGAAGGGACTGGCGAACGTCTTTGTGAGAGCTGCTGTCGTTTCATACCGCAGCAAAGATCAATGCACCAGTGTAACCAAGCAAATGCAATCACTTTCGCAATCTACTACTGGTATGGTCACCCATGCTTTTGATGAAACGATATCCAATGGGCATACACACCGGTTGGTTTGACATCACTACGGCTCCCTCGTACTGCATCCAAAACGCACATTCCATGTTGCTCGTAGCCAATTTGAAACGAGTGCGAACGGTTGTGTAACGTGGTCTTGGTTTGTAGCGGGAATTTTGGGTTCCCATGGCGAAATTACCTTGCGGCGCATTGCGCAAATTTGATTAAATCGCGAGTTATACATGGACCCTAGGGTATGCCATAGACAAATAGACAATAACAACTCTGCCCCGTCCAAGCGCGCTAGGTCTTGCATCGTTGCAGTGTAGCGCTCGGGGCGCACCTGTGGTGGGGTTCAAAGTTGGGTGTTTTTAACGTCCAAAACGCACCAATCACGAGGGAGCTTGAACCAATGAACGCCAAGGATCACCTCGAAAGCCATGATGCTTCAGCACCGCTCGCTCCTGGCGCGCACGTCAATCGCCGCTACCACCCGCCCGTGGGCCCGCCTCTTCTCGGCGGCTAGCGATGACAAGGATGAAGACATGACCCATCGCCGCTTTGAAGACATCGAAGGCTACACGCGGTACCCGAACCACTTTCCCGTAACGATGACGGTCAAGGACTTTATCGCCAAGTACGACGATCTGCCGGCAAAGGCCCGCTTGAGCGACGTGCCCGTCTCGCTTGCCGGTATAGCGCTCACACGCGCTGCCGTGGCTCACGACTTGTAGGGCGCATCACGTCCATCCGCGCGGCGAGCAAGAAGCTCATTTTCCTCGACATTTGCAACGACGGCCACGAAGTGCAAGTGCTTGCAGAGCGCAAACACTACGCCAACGCCGATAACGCGAGCGACAAGGCTTTTGAGCATGTGCACGACTCGCTTCGGCGTGGCGATATCATCGGTGTCCACGGCTTCCCGGGCAAGTCGGGCAAAGGCGAGCTGAGCATCATTCCGCAGCACGTTAGCGTCCTCTCGCCGTGCTTGGCGCCCTTCCCCAACTCCAAGTACGGCCTCAAGGAGATTGTACGTATCATGTACAGCTGCCATTCCTCACGTTCATGATCAGGACATTCGATTCCGCCAAAAGTACCTCGACCTCCTCACCAACAAGGACGTCCGAGGCATCTTTACGACCCGCGCCAAGGTGCCAAACTTGTCACTTGACTTTGCCTAATCGTTGGACCCTAGGTGATTCAATACATTCGCCGGTACCTGGAAGACCGGGATTTTATCGAAGTCGAGACGCCGATCCTGTGCACGGCTGCTGGCGGCGCGGCCGCCAACCCTTTCACGACATCGTCGCGTGCGTTGCACACCGATCTCTTCCTCCGCATCGCTCCAGAGCTGTACCTCAAGGTATATCCCAAGTGGCAAATTTCGTCGTAAGCTCATACTCTTTAGCAACTTGTCATTGGCGGCATGGACCGCGTCTTTGAGATCGGCAAGGTCTTCCGCAACGAAGGTCCTTTGCACCTCACTCTTTCTTGCGCCAACGTTCCTTGACCTAGGCGTCGATCAGTCCCACAACCCCGAGTTCACCATGTGCGAGTTCTACCAAGCGTACGCCGACTACAACACGTTCATGACGACGGCCGAAGACATGTTGTCTGATATCCTTTCCGATTTTTGCTCGACACGACTATATTTTATCCCACTGCGTCCTTGACAACAAGTACGCCTCGTGCAGCAGGTCAATGGGTCGTACGAGGTCGAGTGGAACGGCCAATCCATCAACTTTTCACCGCCGTTCAAGCGCATCTCGATCCTGGAAGGCCTCGAAGAAGCCCTCGGTGAACCTCTGCCCGCCATGGACGACCCGGGTGCGTACTCGACACACAAATTCAAAGAGACTGTCTTCTCACCACGAGAACTAGAGTTGGTGCCCAAGCTTCTCGCCATCTGCGATGCTCGTGACGTATTGTGTCCCAAGCCGCACACCCCCGCCCGCGTCATTGACTGCCTCATCGGCGAGTACCTCGAGCCGCAGTGTGTAAACCCGACGTTCCTCATCCACCACCCGGCATTGCTGAGCCCGCTCGCCAAGGCACACCGCGACGACGTACAGTCTTCATTGCTTGGATATATACTAAGGCGAAAGGACGTGTAGCCGCTCGTGACCGAGCGCTTCGAGCTCTTCGTCGGCGGCAAAGAACTCTGCAACGCGTACACGGAGCTCAACGACCCGGACGAGCAGCGCGAGCGCTTCGCGACGCAGACCAAGGACCGCGAGACGGGTGACACGGAGGCGCATGTCAAGGACGAAGCCTTTTGCCACGCACTCGAATTTGGTTTGCCGCCTACCGCCGGCTTTGGGATTGGCATCGACCGCCTCGTGATGATGCTCACGGGCATGCCCCACATTCGCGTAAGTTCGCTCCTGACACGAGTTGGACTATTGCAAATGGTGTGTAGGAGGTCATTCTGTTCCCGACGATGAAGCCGACGCAGGACCAATAGCAACTCGATTCAAACCCTTGGTTCAAACGACGTGTTGTGTTGCTATCAGGCGGGAGAGCATGCAAAATAGGGTTAGCATTGAACAGGTATATGAACTCGCCATGGCGTCGGCTAATCAACTCTGGGCACACTGCGGAATCGCACCGGACGCACCCTCCGTCGGCTGGCCCGTCAAGAGCATCCGCAACAAGTTGGGGTTCTCCATGATGCGAGTGACGCGGGCAGCGTGGCGGTGCCGCTCGTGAAACGTTGCTTCTTGTTGCATTTGCTGCTGGTTTGCAGCCACGAGTGCGTCCAACTCGTCTTCCGTCGCCGACACATCGACGTCTGCGACTGGAGACCACAGCCGGACGACGTTCTCGATGCCGCTTGTCGCGAGCACGGGCTGCAGCGGGTGGCCCTGCACGCAGTTGACAATGTCTTCGTCAGCCTTGAGTGCGTTCGCGAGGCAGCCCGTCGCGCGGTCCCAAATGTACGCGTACCCGTCGTCGCTCCCGGCCACGATGTGCTCGTCGCCAAAGAACGTGGCCTCCTTGATGTCCGTGTGGAGGTTGCAGTAGCCAATGTATCGCCGAAGGACGTGCAGTGCGACATCCGTGGCGTCGGCGAGGTGGCAATTGCCCCAATCGATGGGTGCAGCACCTCCGTCCGCGCTCTCGATCGACAGCCGAACACTCGACGGCGCTGACGACGACGATCCACCTTCTGTCGCATCGCTTTCGTCCATGCTCCCAGTTTCAGCATCGACATCCTCGTCATCCTCGTCATCATTTTGATCATCACTATCACCTTGATCATCATCGTCCTCGTCGTCATCCTCGTCGTCATCATCATCGTCGTCCTCGTCGTCCTCGTCGTCCTCGTCTGCGAGAGAAGACTCGACGCTTGGGCGTCGGCGCTTGAGCAAAAACGGAGCCAGCTTTTCTGCCAGCGACGGCGCAATGTGCAAGAGGCGCTGGGCCTCTCGACGACTAGCCCGCTGCCGGCCACTGGCCGAGAGTGCTTGGATGTAGATGAGACGAAGGTCGTCCGTCGGCGTTGGCGTTCGCTGGAGGCATCGGAGGACGTACTGCAGCGCGAGGAAACCATCGCCGCGCCATGCTCGCCCAATGTACGCCCGCGCCAGAGTCGTCCAGAGCCGAAGGACAATCGTGTCGTCTTGCCAGCTCGGCGGGCGCAACGCGCGCAGGATCTCGAGTGCTGCCGACGGCTTGGACCACTCGATGCATTTCTCGGCGAGGTCAAGTAAATCGTTTAGCGGCTCGGACGGCGCCGGTTTGTCGTACGCCCACGCATCCAGGTGCATACCATGCGTCCACACTGGCTCGAGTGGTTCAAACGCCGTACGCTCGTTCACGTCAAAGAGGTAGATGTGGTCGTTGTGGTAGTTGGCCAGAATCTGGTTGCCATCCGGACTGTACTGGACGCTTGTACCATGGGCTTCGCGAATGTGGTACCGCGTCAACGAATCCAGATCCGCGTCAAAGTGCAAGTGGGGCGGCGTTAGCAGCTGCAGCGGCTGCGACGCGTGCTCGTCGTTCATCCGGAGCATGCGTTGATCGAAGATGCGGATGTAGTGGTCGCCGCACGCTATCGCCATCTTGGTCGCATCGGTCGGATGCACGCTCAGGCCCATGACGCGCAGGCGCCGGGCGTCGAGGCGCGGGCGACCGAGATTTATGAGCGTGTTCCGGGCATCGTCGCGATTGCCGAGCGCGCGAATGTCAAACTGTCGCACGACACCATCTTCGCCGCCGCTCCAAAAGACGTGTGGTACGAGGTGGGACGCTGCAAGGTCCTTGACGCGGCCACGGTGGCTCGCGAGAAGCTCCGAGCCTTGCGGACGGAACGGCGCGTGGTGCAGGCGCACCTCACAGTCCATGCCAGCGGACGCCACGACGTGGTCGTTCGTACCAGGCACAAAACACACGCCAAAGATGTTCATCGAGTGCCCTGTTGCAATTGTATGGCGGGCCTTTCCTAGACATCACATGAGAGGACGATGGGGACGTCGACGGCGTACGGCGATGAAAGTCCCAGAGCACGACGTTCGTGTCGTCCGAGCCTGATGCAAGGAGCGATCCATCGCGGTTCCAGCTAAGGCGGTTCACGCAGCCGCTGTGGCCATCCAGGGCGCTGTCACAGACCAAGCGCTTGACGAGCGCCGCATGGCTCTGGAGGTGGCGCATGGGAGATGTGACATGGGGCGCAAACCCGCCGAGTAGCTCGTTCGTGTAGGCTACGGGCGTCGAGAGGCGCCGGGGCCGCAGCTGCTGTCGCTCCCGGGCTTGGAGCACCGACTCGATGTTGGTCATTTGTCTCGAAAATCCGAATCTTTCCGTCGACCCGTTGGCCGCGTTGAACTGCGTTAATGCTTAAACGCGGAGACGTTTAATGCGTTTTACGCGTTTTTACGTTTTTACGTGGCAGCAAGCTGTGGGAGCATGAGGAGTTGCATCACTTTATGATGCACATCAAACGCAATGTCTGGCTTGAGGGCGCTTCGACAACAAGACGTCACTAGGAAGTGTTGTTGGCATATTCCTCGGCGATCGGTGACTTTGTACAGGGTGTATTTGAACGCGTTAATCTATCCTAGACCGCGTGCCGGTCACAATGACTTGGCAAACGTCCGCGTTGGCATCTAAATTAACGCGTCAAAATTGAAATTGCTCGAGGGTCGCGTCAAAGTCGGGAAACTCGGGGAAGAAGTCGCGGTGCTGGTCAAAGAACTTGGCGCCGCTTGGGCAGTCGTCTGCAATGAGTTCGACGGGCTCAAACCATGCAGAGGCCTCAGCGTCCGACGCCAGGTAGATGTGATGCTCCTTCCCGGACGCCGTCGGGGACAGTCGCTCTTGGGACATGCGCTTGAAGAACTTTTGCGCGTGCGTTCGGATCTGCACGGTCGACCGCGTTGGCACGACCTGTGCGACCTTCTTCCAGTTCTTCCCGTAGGCACGAAGACCCTCGAGGAAGAGCTGGTGCTCCTCGGCCAGCCAGCGGCCGCCGCGTTTCGTGCTGCCGTTGCTGCTCGTCGGGCTCAGGTCGTCGTCGAGCTCCGACTTAAGGCACGGTTCGACCTTGATGCCATCCGTGTGCGCTTGTAGCGGTGCCACCTTGGCTCGCACCCGGGGCAGCCGCGGTGCCATCATCGCCATCTCCTTCTCGCTAAACGCCGAGGGGGACACGATCGCCTTGGTGACGACGGTCGAAAAGTGCGATTGTGACGATGGCTGCTGCGAGGACTGCTGCTTGTTGGGGAAGTCAATGACCGACTGCCGCTTCTGTCGCAACTCGAGCGCCATTTGCTCGAGCTCCTGTTTTTCTTTGGGCGACGCGGTGCCCATGGCCGACATGATCGAGTCGATCGCGCGCGAGAGCGACCGCACTTGGCGGTGCGGCCATCGCTTGATGCCATTGCGCCGGCACATCTTCTTGAGCGATGTGATTTGCACGCCAAAATGGAGTGCGGCCTCTTTCATCGGTACGTGGAACCACTGCTTGAGGTCGTCAAAGCCCACGACCTGCGTCCACACCCGCGTCCGCGTCGCGACGGGCTTGGCGGCCGTTTTGCGCGGCTTGGCGCGCGTACCGGCGCGCTTGTGGGCAGTGAGCGCGTCGTCAGCATGCTCGTCGTCGTCTTCACCGCCAGAGCATTCTCGCAGAAACTCGAGCTGCTCTCGCCAGTACCTCTTGGACGGGACACTGTCGTCTTCGGTGCTGCTACTGCAATTGCTGCTGCTGCAGGCGTCCATCTCGTCGTCCTCATCTTCGTCGTCGTCCTCGACCTCTTCTTCGTCCATCGGGTCGTCTGCGAGCATGTCGCACGTCGTTCGCACGGCGACGTCAACGGCAAGGTCGTCGTCGGGCCGGGCCATCGTCATCGGGCAGCAGAAAATCGAATCTAATCTGCCACCGGCGCTGGGCCAATTTCCAGCTCAAATGTATCTTTCGATATTTCGGTCCGGGCGTTGGCTTGTGGCGTTTCATTGCACTCGATGTTTGTATGCAGAATACAAACACGCAACTTGGATGTTCGTCAACCCAGGGAACCTACCCCTGTGTGTCGCCCGATACAAACAGCAAGGTACCGCGCTGAAATGTGGAAAGTTCGAAAATCACACTTGAGTGTTGGAGAACGGCGGAAGGATGCGACGGTCGACGGCGCTGCAACCTCCTCTTCCTGTGATCGCTGAGGACTTAACATGCGCTCGTCCGAAGGAAGAGAACGAGATGCTACGGGCCAAGGACCATGGGCGACACCCTCCGCGCCGTCGAGTCGCACAGTGGTCTCCTTCCGAATGATAGCAAGTTGACAAAGGAGTAGTACTGATCCACACCATTCTACGTCTCAAAACAGGGCTCAGCCAAGCTTGCGCGTCAACGCCGCAAGGTGCATCGCTCGGTACGCACGCAGGGCGAGCCAGAGCGTCTTCTTCGCCATGCGGTCGGGCTGCAAGCGCAGCATGCACGGAACGAGGACGAGCACTTCGAGGCTGCCAACGTCGGCCGCGATTGCGTCAATATACTCGTGGGGCTCCATAAAGCCATTGCCATACAGACGCCCGTTGATCTTGAACTCTTCGAGCTTGAGCTTGTTCTTGTTCGTGCACATCTTGACAGCGCGAAAGACGAGCTTCTGGAGCTCAACAGCATCGTCGTCGTAGACGCACTCGAGCAACTCGAGCGGCGGGACGTCGGGCACGGACGTGAACGGCGCCAGGAGGACCTCGAGGCCATAGTACGACCCCGTCGCTTCTTCGTTCGCCGTCTCTGCAGGTGCATCGTCGGTAGCGTCGTCGCAAGTCGGCGGCGTGGGCTCCGTCACGTTGGTCGTATCGACGACGTCGGCGATGGGTACGTTCTCCACGAGGACGTCGTCCTCGGGCAATGGCGTCGCTGCATTCGCGTCGCTAGCACATGGGCTCGAGGGTGCATCCACTTCTGTCGTCGGGGTGTCCTGCCGAGCCTCTTCCTCACAGGCGTCGGGCGGGGCATCGTCGCAGGTCGACGCGTCCGAGGCTGCGTCGCCAAGGTCGATCTCATCAATTTCTTGCTTTACAGGCGGAGATGGGAGCGCTGGAACCTCGATAGTTGGTTCGACATGCATGTCCATGGCTTTGACAGTCACGCGAGCCTTGGCCCGGCGGCCAGGAGGAGCGGGGCGCCCTTCCATGCTGCTCGCGGTCGTCGTCACTGGGAAATAGTGTGTCACATGGTGATTTGGTGTGTGCGCTAGAAATAGGACGCGCGGTGCGAAATTCGGACAGTTCGGAATTTTAAGCAGCAAGGCGTGCAAGTACTAGAATCACGCCACTTTAGGACGCCAGACTGCCAAGATTGCCTTTGGTTGACGAGTGCTCACGAAGGAACGGCACGTGCCACTACGTCCCATTCAAGAGCCCTCGCCACTTGAAGGCGCTTGTACTGGCTACAACATAAGCAAGTACCGCTCGAGAGGCAACGGCGCGGTCCACTGCACAGTTTGACATGAGATTCATGTTTCTGCACTACACGGTCATGCCGGATAATGTACTATTCCCAAACCAGTTTTCTGCGAGTAGTGTTGCTGGATAAAGCACGTCGCGATCAAGCGCAACAAGTGCCTGAATGGACTACGTTGGTATTCTTGTCGATGACGCCCACGGATTCGACTGGAATAACCAACGATCAATACAATGCAGCAGACTACAAAGATGTCACAAAAGACTCTGCAACATGCACTAGGTATGGTCACGCTGGAAAGCCTGCGAGTTGTATGCTTCTTGCACGCTACAGTCAAGAGGCGCCTCGTTCCGCGACCCAACGCCTCGAGAATTCGGGCGCGAAATGGCGTGATTCTAGCCAAGCCGAATTTTGCCCGCGAAAAAACGGCCAATACTTTAATTTCGGACTTTCGGCAATAAAACCAGGGGATGGCTGGCTCCTCTTGGGCCCTAGTTTGCCTGCCTCCACAAACCCGGTCGAGGTCTGTTCGTTACGCTCGCCGCCAGTAGCCCCGCGGAGACAAGGACGCGACAGGACGTACGTGGCATGCATCGGAGAGCGAGCTCATGTCGACCTTGTAGCGAGACCATGGTGACCGAGATGACCCTCAGCGACTTGATGGCCCGCGAGGGCCAGTACTGCTCCGACAGCAGCAGCCTGAGCAGCGGCAGTCCCAGCAGTAGCAGTTCGAGCTCCGGCGACTCGTCATCCGACGACGACAGCTCCGATAGTGCAGCGCCGCCTCCACAGCCACTTGAGAAGATCCGATTTCGCGTGTCGCCCAACACCGCCAAGGAGATACAAGCCGCGGCTGCAAAAGCCGGCAAGCCGAAGCCCGAGCCAAAGCCTCGGGCCAAGCCGAAATCAAAGGCGGCTCCAAAGCCAAAGCCTCCGCCGCCGCCTCCGGGAGCGAAGACCGCGAAAGGAAAGACGGTCAAGAAGGCACTCGCAACGCCGCCACCGCCGCCGCCAATGATGCACATGCTGCCCACGCCACAGCGCAAACCACCCGTCGTTAAACAGGCATCAGCGACTGCGATCCAGCTCGTCAAGGGTGATCCTGGCGACGTCTGCACGCCGAGCGCCGTCGAGCTGCGTGGCCGTCGCGAACTCGAGCTCGTGGCGCCCGACTTGGCGACGAACGCCTCCGTCGAAATCGACGAAAGCGCGATCGACGGTCGCGTCTACAACTTCCACCCGAACGACGCTGGTGGCGACGTGCTTCGCAACCTCGACCAGTTCTACTTTTGCGACCAGTCGGGGTCCGTTTTGCGTCCTGTTGCAACGAGTTGATCACACTTCCCGTAGGCAACCCATCAGCCTCGACGTGTTTGAGCTCCCGCGCGACCAGCGACCGCTCATCATGGCCTTTGGCACCGTCGTCCAGCCTCTGCCGTTCGAGGAGCTGCCGCCGCCTGTGCGCTACTACATGCCAGACATTGCCCCGCCGTCCGCGACTGCCGCACGGAAGCGCAAGCCGACGAAATCGGGCAAAAACCCGGCCGCCCGGAAGCTCGCGTCCGACGAAGACGACGACGATGACCACAACACAGAGAGCGACGTCAACACGGAGAGCGACGCGACGACCGGTCCATCCATCTCGATCGGACGTACCCTGAACGACCTCGCAATGTGTAGAGTCCCACGTGAAGCGCAAGCGACCGCTCGAAGCTGCCTTTGCCGCCGAGGCCAAGAAGCCCAAGCTTGACCAACTCGACGGGGCCTGTGATGATGACGATGACGACGCGATGGACGGTGGCCACACCTTGGCTCTCTTCCCGGCGGCCTTTCGGCATCCGTACCCTCGCTATCAGTCGGCCTCGCGCGTTCGTCGGCAATACGACGGCGCAGACGACTCGGGCAACGAAAGCAGCAGCTCGGACAGCAGCTCGTCGTCGTCGTCGTCGTCTTCGTCGTCATCATCGGCGAGTAGCAGTGTGCCGCCTCCGCCGCCCGCACCGGTGACGGCAGATCCGGATCCGTACGAGAGCAGTCCGTCCGAGAGCGACGCGCGGCCAATCGGAAAGAAGAAGACACCGGCCACGTCGTACGTCAAGGTACATAACCGGACGCCGACAGTCGTTGGCGCCGACCTCGACGACCTCATGCGCGCCGACGGTGTCCGCAGCGTTCGCATCGACGGCGTCTCTGAAGCCTCGTTGGAGCTACTCGAGTGCGGGTTCCGGCACCCGCCCAAGTGCGCAACCCAGCGCGTGTGGCTGCCCGAGATCTCGGACTGGTGCCTCGACTACACGGACGGCGACCCGACGCTGTGGGTCATCACAGCGCACGCGTGGTACAAGATTGCGGGTCCGATCTCGGGCATGCTCCCGCACTGGAGCTACCGCCGCCACTTTACCAAGCCGCGGCTCATGTTTGAGGCGTGCTTCCACATTGCGTCGGTGCTGCGCGAGTGGCTGCCCAAGCACCCGGGCTTGAGCTACCGCGCGACGCTCCAGCAAGTAATTGAGCAGAGCATTCTCGGCCGGTATCCGCTCACAATCAAATTTCTCATCGAGCACTGCAAGTTCATCGCCAACCAAGTGGGGAACCTCGGCGCGCCGTACGAAGGCTGGCTCCAGTGCGCCTTTTTCAAGCAGCTCTACCGCATGCACGAGAGCCTCGAGGTGCGCGTCGCCAAGCACGAAAAGCAAAAGGCCGATGTGGAAGCGCGTCGGCTCCAGCGCGAGCGCGAAGTGCTCGAGCGGCGGCAAAAGGCCGACGACGAGCGCCGCCAGCGCGAAGAGATCCGCAAGCAAATGGAGAAGGACCGGCTCGAGAAGAAAAAGTACCCGATGGAAGACCTCGACGTGCTCCTCGAGCTGCCGGAAGACGACCAGATGCGCGTGCCGCAGTGGCCGGTCGACACGACGTTTCCGCTGGCGCCGACGCTCTCGGGGCAGCTCCTCGGCGACCTCGCGATGCTCTACCAGCTCCTTGGCGCGTACCGCGATATCCTGAGCGCCCTCCCACCGACGCTGACGTTTACGAGCTTTGTGCTGTGCATGGTCGACAACGGCGCGTCACTCGTGCGCAACGAGATCTTTGTCGCCGTCCTCGAGACGCTCGTGCGCGAAGTGCCGTCGTATACGCAGTTTCGGTCGCCGCTGCAAAAACCCGCAACGTCGGTCTACGGCCTCCGCGACCAGACGTTTGTGCTCACGGTCTTCAACTGGCCGGAGGTGCTGCGGCAGCTACTGCATTTGGCCGAGTCCCGACCGATGGACGCGTACCTCGTCGGCGCGTGGGACGCGTGGTACGGCCGTGAGCTCGTGCTGCAGTCGCTGACGCAGCACGCGCAGGCGGGTCCGTTCTTGCGCCCCGTTGATTTCGAAGCGATGAACTTGGCCGACTACCCGAGCATTGTCACGCGGCCCATGGATCTGCACACAATCATGACCCAGCTCCACGCGCGCGCGTACGAAGAGACCCCAGACGCCTTCCTCGACGACCTCGACCGCATCTGGTCGAACGCCATCTTGTACAACGGCGCCGAGTCGGAGATTGGCCGCGCGGCGGCGACGCTGCGGGAGGCGTGCGCGGCCGACGTGGCCCTCTACATGCACGCGTCTCGTCCGCCGTCGACGAACGTCCTCGCGGACGCGCTCAACGTCACCGAATTTAGCGAGGTACACCGACGGAACCGGTCTTGTGCCAACGAGGTTGTGCGTAGCTGCCGCTCGAGATGCGAGTGCAAGCGCTGTCGTGGGCCTGCCACGAGTTGTTGCAGCTCGAACGTGTCCGGTACGACATGGCTGTCCATGCTGTGTGACAAGAATATGACTCTAGAAACGACATGCACCACAACGTCGAGAAGGAATTTGAGATTTGGCGCGAGTTCCGCAAGGACGAGCGGGACCGGGACCAAGTGCGGCGCAACGCGGAGAAGGGCCGGCGCGAGCGCGAAGAGGCGTTTCGACAGCTCTGCATCAACGAAGGCATTCCGACCAACTACAACAATGTGTTTTCCGACGCGACGAAGAAGAAGCACGCGTTCATTGCCGAGTTTTACGCCAACATTACGGCCGAGCGGTCGGCCGAAGAGGCCGCGTACAGCCGCGAGTCGAGCACGAAGGAAGCGATGCTCCGCCAACAGCTCAGCGGTCTTCGCATTCGCTGCGCGCCGCTCGGCAAAGACCGGTTCCACCACCGCTACTACGCAATGGACGGCCCGATCTTGGTCTGGGAGCACAACGACACGGGCGCGTTCCATACGTACACGAAGGAGGACGAGATCGACTCGCTCCTCCAGTGGCTCAACCCCAAAGGCATCCGCGAGGTCGAGCTCAAGGAAAAACTGGAGCTCATTGCCGACGACATCATCGCGCACCTCAAGGTCCCGTACGTGGCACCACCAGACCTTGCGCCCGAGTCGACCTACTGCCTCGGGGCGTGTCTCCCGCTGCCCGTGTTTGCCCTCCCGACGACGTCGCCAGCCCTGCAAGCCGTGAGCACGGCCCTCGCCGGACTCGTGTCACTGCTCGGTGACGAGACGCCAGCGGCGCCGGTGCAGTCACTGGCCGACGCCATCGAGTGCACGCTGGCCACCGAAGCGCGCATGCTGGACGCACTACCGGCCGAATGTCTCCAGTCGCACTGGCGCGCCCAGCGTCTCGGGTGGCGACCGATGGTTGCTGGCAGCAAGACAGTACCGCAGCTGCTCGTGCTTCTCGCGGCGTGGCTCCGCCAAGGCGTGGTCATGGACCTCTGGATGGACATGGTCGTGGAGCTCACGCGGAAAGACTGGCTCCAGCTGCGGCCCAAAGCCGCGCGCAACTTTTGCCCCGACGTGGGCCACAATGTCGTGTACTTTGGCAACGGCCACGCGCAGGCGCTCGCCGACGACGCCAAAGTCAAGCATGCGACGCCGCTCGCGCGGCCTGTCGACACGGTCGTGCACGAACAAACCGTCGCGTGCACGGTCACCAAGGTCGGGTACCATCACGGCAATGGCGACCCGTACGCGGTCTTGGTGCTCACGCCGTCCGAGTCGCTCGTGACGCGTCTCGAGCCCAAGAGCCACCTCTGCACGCTCCCGTCTGCGACGCAAAAGGTTGGCCGCGTCCTCCTCCGCATCCTCAACAAGCTCAAGCACGATGTGAACGCGGGTCCGTTCCTCGAACCTGTCTCGACGACCGACTTTCCCACGTACAAGGACATTGTGCTCAAGCCCATGGACCTCTCGACGATGGCGGCGCGCATCAAGCAGGACAAGTACCCCAACGGCGCGGCCTTTGTCGCCGACGTCAAGCTCATTGCGAAGAACTGCAAGCTCTTTTGCGACGGGCGGTTCCCGACGCTGCCCCCGATGGCCACGGCGCTCGTGGCGGTTGCCGAGTCGCTCGTCAAGAAGCACGCAGCCGAGCTCAAGGGCGACGACGCCGTCGCGCCTCGTGGCCGAGGTCGTGCCAAACTCGACGACAAGCTGCCGGCCGACGTTGTACCTTCGCGCATCACGGTGAGCCTGCGCCTCGAGAACCGCCTGCCCGAGTTCCTCGTCGACGCCAAGCGCTACGAGACTGCAGTGAACCGGTCGTGGAAGGCCGGCGAGAAGGTGCGCGTCTTGTTCCGGGACCCGAAGGGCATGCCGACCGAGTATTTTAACGCGTCGACAGCTGGGTCACTGCCCGTCTTGGCCAACGGTCTCCTACCGTGGGAAGCGCTGCGCGTCGTGTGGGACGAAGACGACGGCTCGGACGACAGCCGCGTCAACCCTTGGTACGTCCACGATATGTATTCCCGTCGAGTCTCATCGTTGGCGCAGGGAGGCGGAAATTGTCAAGCAAAAGTAGGCTATACAGTAACTAGATCATCCATTCGACGAAGCATTTTCGTCTTCTTCTGCCTCTGCGAGATCGTTGGGACTGAGAGAACGCCTCCCACTGAATAGTAACAAACAACAAAATTGATCGGCTCAGCTCAAACGCGGCATGAGGAGGCGCACGATGTGCGGCGGTTGGTGCTTGACAGCGTATGCGCGGGCGGCGTCCGAGCAGCCTTCGTTGCGCTTCTCACTCAAGAACACAAGCACGTCGACGTGGCCGTAGATGGCCGCGCCGTCCATGGCCGACGTCGAACAGCCTTCGCGCCGGCGTTCGTGCAAGAACTCGACAATGTCCAAATGCCCGTGCATCGCGGCTCCGTCCATGGCGTCCGTCGTGCAGCCCTCGGTCCGATGTTCATGCAGGAACCGGACAACCTGCAGGTGACCCTCGGTCGCCGCACTGTCCATGGCGTCCGTCGTACAGCCCTCGGTCCGATGCTTGTGCAGGAACGTCACGACGTCCAAGTGTCCGTGCATGGCCGCGAGGTCCATGGCGCGCAACGTGCAGCCCTCGCCGCGGTGTGTGTGCAAGTACCGGACCACGTCGAGGTGCCCGTGGCTGGCCGCCAAGTCCATTTCGAGCGTGCTACAGTGCGCGTAGCCGGTTTCGTGCAGAAACGCAATCACTGCGAGGTGCCCGTGCATGGCGGCGCCGCGCATGAGGTTGGGCACACTGGCGCCGTCGCTGTGCGCAAACAAGTAGCGCGCGACGTCGACGTGGCCGTGGTTGCACGCGGTGGTGAGCGGCCACCGATTGCGCCACGGGCCAAAGTGCGTGTCCAGATAGCGCACAACCTCGAGCTGATTGAACTTGGCCGCGTGTGTCATGGCCGTGGCCGTGTACGGGTCGCAGTGGAGGCTGGCCAAGAAGGCAAAGACGGCGACGTGCCCGTGCTCGGCCGCGAGCGCCCACACAATCTCGTCGTTGACAAAGTGGCCCCGGGTGTGCAAGTCTGCCAGTAGCTGGACCTTGCCGTAGATTGCAGCGTAGCTCAAAACGTACGAGGCCCACTCGGGCTTGGCGCGCACGAAGCGGTCGATGCCGAACGCCGTACTCCACGGCTCGAGCAGCGCGTGAAAGGCGCCGTGGTCGCTCAGCCGAAAGTAGCGGGGCGTCGTGCTCTGCAAGAGGCGGACGAAGGGCAAAAGGTCCGCGTAGCAGCCGCTCTGGTACGCGCTCATCTCGCGCAAAAGGTCCGGCGACGTCAAGGCGCAGTGCGCCATCTTTTTCAAAGTGCACTTTGGACACTGATCTGGATACGCCCTCGATAGTAGAACTTTGACACGCTCTCGATTCAAGACCCGCAACAAAGTGACCACAGCGTGCCACGAGCGCTTGAAGGAGACGTCACGGATACTGCAAACAAAAAGTACCCGAGACGACGTAGTCTAGCTCGGCGGGATACGCTGTGCGTCGGGCGGTCTCGCTTGCTCGTTTCTGCACAAAGGACGCGACGCCAGCCGTGTTTATAGGATCTTGAAGCACGGGCTTGAAGTACGCAGCGTCGCCACCTTCAATCCACGTCTCTGCGTTCGCTCAAGAGGTGCGTGTTCTTGCCGAGTCCATTTTCGCTCAGCATTTCGGTTGACGGCTAGACGGCAGAAGGCGCAAGTGGTCGACAGGAAGGACCGACGGGGTCTAGCACACACGGGCAGAAGAGCGATAGGCGGCTCTCTTCTCGGTCCGCGAAGGTGCGATCCAAAGGCGCTTCATGCAAGGAGCTCCCGAGTGGTCAATCTGATTCTATTTTCACGTTTTTCACATTAACCACGTAAATCTATCCAGTGAAAAACACTCGCCAGTCGAAAAGAGCCATCGACGATGGCCGAGGTCATGCCCGAGGCCGTCAAGGTCGACGTCTTTGGGAGCTACGAGGCGCTGGACCAGGACAGCGGCAAGTTCTACACGGTGCTGTCCGCTTTAGACAAGTCGGGCGCTCACGGCCAACACGTTAGGAGTACATTTTACGCTGCAACGTCCAGGACCCCAGCGCCCGCCTGCGTGTACGTGGCCTTTTACAACTGCGCCGACATATATGTATGTAGTCGTGGAATGCTGCGCGTCGATACCGCGAGTTTTGCGCGATCGACATCCTCGTACGTCTCGGCGCGCTTGGCCATGACGATGCCCATGTGCTGCTGTTGTCGTAGCTGCGGGAAAAGTACCCGCATCTTGCGAGCTCGTTTCCGTCGCTGCCGAGCAAAAAGTACCTCGGCTCGTCGCTCTCGTCCGACTTTGTGGAGAAGCGCCAGCGCGACTTGGGCCATTACATCTCGACGCTTCTGAGCTTGTACCCGCAGGTACAACTCGCACGGTCCCACGCAGCGCTAACGCCGGCGTAGCTGCTGCACGACGAGATCATGGACGAGTTCTTGGAGCTCTCAAGTCACTGATAAGACATAATGTCTGCGATGCTTTGGACATAGCGTCCACAAGGTGGCTGCAGGATGCAGTCAAAAACGATCGATCTACTCCTATACTAACGGCACAAACTAAGAACTACAGCAGTCTAGTCGGCAGAGAGACCGTCGTAGGGCGAGAGGCCAAATGCGTTCTCAATCGTGTCGTCGGCGCCGTGCCCGATGAGGTACTCGCCGAGGACGCCGTCCTTGTCGTACGCCATGGCAAAGTGCAGCGCCGTGTTGCCTTGCGCGTTCTTGTGGTTGATGTTGGCGCCCCGCAGCACAAGGAATTCGACCATCTTTTGGTTGACGTTCTGCGCCGCAATCAATAGCAGCGTGTTGCCCTTCTCGTCTTCGACATTGATGTCGAAGCCGGCCTCGACGCTCTCCATGAGGCGCTTCAAGCGGCCGTTGCGCGCCTGGCTGAACACCGTGTCGGCGCTAGGGACACCTTTTCGCGTCTTGGCGGCCGCGTCTTCCTTCTCGACGACATCGACCTTGACCTTGTCTTGCTGGCTCAATGGCAAGTACTTCTTCCGCGACACGAGGATCTTGAGCAGATGCGCCTTGTGGGTGACGCCGAGGATGTCCGAGAGGTCTTCCGGACGCAGCTCGAGGAGGAGCGCGCCGTCGACCGCGCCTTCCCGGAACGCTTGCTTGTACTGTGAGAGAGATAATACCTCGAGCCAACGCTGGACGTCGTCGATAGACCAGTCGCGCATCGCGTTCGGAAATGGCTGCTGCAGGGCGGCTTTGGCTTCATCTTCGCGCTTCGTGCGCTCAAGGAGCTCGAGCTTTTTCTTTTTGGACGCAGCGTCCATGAGCTCGTTGCTGCCGATTTGAAGCCGCTGCATCGTGGGAATGTTGGCGGCCGCCGCTGCTGCCGCGGCGGTCGCTGCTGTCTCGGCCGTGCTCGAGATGGCCGCGGCCGTCGTGTCGGCGTTGATGTCGCGGAGACTCTTGAGCATGTTGAGCGAGCTAAAGTACGAAAGCGACATGGACTAGACGCAACATGTATCATGACAAGTTGTCGACCATCCAAATACCATAAACTGAAACTTCATGAGCTCTTCCGTCGACTCGAAGATGGCTTGGGATTTCTTCTCGTGCTCCTTGGCCTTCATGGCCGTGGCGGCGGCAGCGGCGGCCGATGTGGCCGTCGCCGTCTCGAGCTCGATGCCTTTCTCGCGGATCATGTCGAGCTCGTACTTTTGCTCTTCGAGAAGCTCCATGAGGTTGCGCTGCATGCGCGCAAACTCGCGGTCCTTCCGCAGTCGCGTCGCCTCCATGTCGCTGAGCTTGGCCTCCATCTCTTCGAGCGCCTGCTTCTTGAGTTGCACATCGTGGAAGACGCTCGTAAACTCTGCCTCGAGCTCCTTCTTCTTCTTCTCGCGCTCGTTGCGCTTGATGTGGATCGCCATCTCGAGGGCGTAGGCGTCTGCCATGCGCTGCCGCGCCTCCTCCTTCGTCTCAAACCCGCCGTTGGACGACGGGTCGTTCAACACGATGCCGTTGCCCAGTCCTTGGCGGTCGGCGTGTTCAACACCGCCCCGGGCCTTGAGCATCTCGGCTTCGTGGGTCAGCTCGTGCAGGTCCGTCTCGATCTGGTCGATTTCCTGCAGCTCCCGTTCCAAGACCGAGAGCTCCTTCTGCGCATCCGTCAGACTGGCGTGGATCTCGGAGACCTTGCGCTCGGCTGACGCTTGCGCTCGGTGCAGCGCGTCGATTTCTTTTTGTTGGCGCTCAAACTCGACTTTGGACGCCTCGATGCGCTGGAGGCCGAGGCTGAGCTTCTCCGGACCTGGCTCGGCCCGGTCCCACTCGTGCATGCGGGCGACGCGCTTCCGGGCGAGATACCCGCGGAAGACGCGCTGCAGTTCGTTGGCCGCCAGCGTCCGAACGCGAACGCGCAGAAATTTCGCCTTTTCCCGGTACATTTTGTACGTAGCTTGGAGCTTTGTCGCTTTGGCGTGAAGCATGCGCACGTACGCCTGTGAGTCTCGAATGGCCTTGGCCTTGCGTCGCCCGAGGTGTCCACGGTACGCGCGCTGCAACAACCCCGCGTACTTGAGCCGACGTTTGGTCACGTAGACTTTGCGCGCTCGTTCTCCGCGATACCAGCGCTGGACGAGCTGCGTGCTCGCAAGATATTGCTCCAACTCGAGCTTCCTCGCCTTGTACGCGCGCGTGCGCATGCGCGAGAGGCCGCCACGGGCGACACGAACGATCTCAGCCCCGGCGCGCGCCCGCCGCAGCCGTCTTTGGTGCTACCCCGAGCGACTCAGACCACAACGTAAGGAACATGAAATCACCTCGTCGCGCAAGTGCCGCAAAGTGCACTGCGCCAAGAACCGGCGGACATACGTCTGGATCGTAATGGCCTTGGCTACATGCAAAACAAGCAGCGCCTGCGTGCGCTCGTGGTCCGCTTGTTTTTGCCGTTCGGCTTGTGCCAGTGCCATCTATGTATCAACGTGTCAAGGTTTCAAGTGTGCACGTGGTCCATCGTACTTGCTGCTGCACGTGGGCGTACTCTTCGACTTTGAGGAGCCCGAGCTTTCGGTTCTTCTCTTCCTCGGCTTCGAGCTCGTCGAAGAGGCTCGTGATAACCGGCACCTCGTGCGCTGCGAGGAGCGTCTCTCGCAGCTCCAGTCGACGGCTTGGCGCCCCTGGCGCGACGTCGACCACAAGGTCGTCTGGGATCGACACCGACGGAATCGGCGACCCCGTGGCTTCGAGTGACTCGGCGACCTGCACATCGGCGGCCCAGAGAGCGTCTTGAACTGCATCGCGCACTTGGCTTCGAGCGCCATGCCGGGCTTGGAGCTCTGCGTCGAGCGCCGCCAGCCGCGCGTTGTCCTCGTCTTCCCACTGCTTGCGCCGACGGTCTTGCTCCAACCGCAGTGCAGCAAGGCGCGCCTCCGTCTCTGCCTTCTCTTGCTCGCGTCGGCGCTGTGCGTTGAGCTCTGCAAGCTTGATCTGTTCGTCGAGGCGCTGCTTGGCGGCGTTGGCCTCGTTTTCGTAGTATAAAGTCGTGTCATGCTCGCTCGCAAGTACTTCGGCCGCCGTCACCTGCAGCGGCACCAGTGGCGGCGGCGCGATAGTCGGCATACTTTGCAGCGACGGACCTCGAAACAGCGTTCGCCTTGCATTGGGCTTCTCTGGGGACGACTCGGTCGTTTGTTCTGGCAGCGGCGAGACCGAACGTGGTGCAGAGAGCACTTCTGCCGCCGCAGACGACGCGACGAATGCCACATCGGCCGGCACCTCTGGGCGACTGGCTGGCCAATTGACGAGGACTTCTAAGAGATCGCAAATGTAGTGCTTTGCTTCTTGCCGCACTTCATGTCCAGCGCGAAGCCACGTGACAAAGGCGCTCTTCTCCGGCGCGCTCAGCGCCTGCACAAGCAGCTGGCGCCCGCGGTCGTTGAGCTCTCCATTCTTGCCTTGTTGGTGCGACCACACATGCACACAGGACCGGCCTACAGCTCGTCCTCTTTTGCTGTACTTTTAGCAAACTTTGTACCTTGTAGAAACGGATCGACGTTGGTCGGGGCCACGAGCGCGTTCTCGACCGACTGAACGACCACGATCGGGACGCTAATGACGCTGAGCTGGGTCGTCAAATCGACGTTATGTAGGGCGCCTTTGCAGATGCGCAGCCGGCCTTCGAGCGAAATCGGGTTCGTCACCGCCGTGTAGATGCTTAGCGCTAGGTTTGGGTCCACGCGCTGGAGGTACTCGGCGCAAAAGAGGAATTTGCTGAAGTACGACACGGGCAAGTCCGGTCGCGTGTGCGGAAGGCACTGAAAGAGGTTCACGGCGCCGTGCAAGATGCCCGCGAGCTGCGTGTCGATGGCCGCAAACCCGTTGATGAGCGCGACGCTCTGCAACCGCGGCGCGTACATGGCGCCAAACTGAATCGCAAAGCAGGCCGCGAGGTGGCCTCCGTGGCCAAAGCCCACGAGGTGAAAGGGCACCGACGTCGAAAACATCCCCGACGCGTTCAGCGACGTGAGGAGCTCGTGCACGCAGCGCGTCACAAAGAGATTCGTGAGCGCCGACTCGTTGCATTTGGTGTTGGCTTGACCCGGCAAGTTGAAGACGAGCATTTGGCAGCCCGGGTGCGCGGCGAGAACGGACCGCAGAAAGACGCGGGTGGCTTCGAGCGTATCGAAAAAGTCCGGCCACACAACAAGGTTGGCTTTCGAGAGCGCGACAGAGCCGAGACCGAGGACCTGGTACATGATCGTAGTCACACCGTCGTCGCACGTAAACTCGTGCTGCCGGTTGGGGTCGGCTTCAGGCTCGAGTCGCGCACCGGCCAGTCGCGCCATCTGCTTGTTTTGTGTGAGCGCGCGCAGCGTGCCATTCGTGTCGACGGTCGGTGGCGGCGCCTCGAGAGGTGGTTGGAGGCTGCAGGTCGCTTTGGTGGGCTGCCATAAATGATACGCACGCAACGCCTCCAGAGTCCTAAATCAACCCGCTTTTCAGACCTTCAAAGTTAAAATGCAGCTGTGCACCAGGTGCAGAGCTTTGCCGCGCCTTTCCAGATGGGCTCGATGACATCGGCACGATAGAGCGGGTTGGCCGTGTACCGCTGCGCACGCCGGACTTGGTCGGCGGAGAAGTCGGACACGTGCACGTGAAGCAGCCGCGCGTGAAGCTTATCGCTATGCGCGAGCTCTCGCTTGAGCAGACTCCAGTATCGATGTACGTCATGGCCATCGTCGTTGAGATCCGAGACGAGCGAGATGTTGGGCTGCTTGAGGAGCAGAATCAGCAGCACCGACGCCACCATCGCAATCGCGGGTGGCGGGTGCGCAAAACTTCGCAGCTCGGCAATCTCAAAGAGCGAGATGGAGCTGGCGACACTCACCGCGTCGGCCCACGCCGCTTCCCAAGCGGCCACCGCCAGCGCTGGTGGGGCTTTGGACGTCATGTTTTCCGGAATCCGCGCCCGCTTGCGCTTCGTTTTGGCAGCCGCGCGGCTCTTGGCTTTGACGCGTGCCTCCTCGATGAGCGTGTACAGGGCAAAACAGTTGGCACACACGTCGACGTCTTGGTAGTAGTACCCCGGGAAGACCGTGCCGAGGGGCTCACCGTCGCCGCCGTCATCGTAGAGCTCGCCAATGTACTCGACGTCGTCGCCGTTGACATAGCGCCGAATGTAGTGGTCGACGTGGTCCTTCTCGACGCGCGTTTGCGCAATGTACTTGAACGGGATCGTGTGCGGCTTGGAATCGGGTGCGACGTTGGGCGTTGTCAGCGAGGCCCAAATGTCGCTGTCACCAGACTCCATCTTGGACGCCCCCGCCGCCTCGAGGCTCTCCATAAACGTCTGCGCCTTCTTCTCGTACTTTGCAGCGCGCGCCGCAAGGCTCTTGTTGCCTTTGGGAAAACCAAGTAGGCTCGGCGTCGACCCGCGCTGGATGCGCGCGGCGGGGTCAACCACGATGTGGCAAAAGTCTCCGACGCACCCTTTCTTTTGGCTCGACCCCAGGTTCGCGGCCGAGATGGCGCGGCGTTCCATGCGTGAGAGGAGCTTCCCACCTGCGATGTGGTTGTTGTTGATTGGCGATGACGCACGCATCGTCGACGACGTCTGCTTGGGCAAAGACGCGAGCCGGCCTTGCTTGAGTGTTGCTTTCTTGGACGTCGGGTGCAGAATGGCCTGAACAGCGGCCTCGTCGGGCGCGTTGAGATCATCGAGCTGCGCGCGCAGTAGCATGCGCTGGGTCGTCCCCAAAATCGCGCTGCTGCTTTGCGCTTCGGCCTTCTTTGGCTTGGATTGAGCCAGCGGCGTCGTCATGCACGTCGCCGTCTTTACGAGGAAGAGGTACCCGGCGTCGTCAACGACAAAATACAGCGTTGCAGCAACCACGCGGCACTTGCGATGCTTCTCGACCGCACTAGGAGGTGGACGCATATGGGCGACTTGTCACGAACGAGCCACAGCTACCCCAGTAGTGTCATGGTCGCACTGCCCATGGCCGCATTGAGGCTGGCGTCCTTGGAGACGATGCGCTGCGCACCGAGTGCGAACCGCGTGCATTTGGCTTGCGCCTTGCCTGTCTTGGTGAGGCTAATCATCGCGTGTCACAAGCAAACAAGATGGCGTCTCGACGTACCTGTGGTCGTACTCGTACGTGGCAAAGCGCGCCGGGTGCACGTCGCCTTTCGGTTGCACGTACGCGTGGATGACGAGCGAGCCTTTCGGGAGCCCTTCAAGCGTAACAGCCAAGTCGTTGGTCGAGAGCAACTACTCGCTGTGAATGCAACAAAGTAGAAGAGAGATGGGAGTACCTGGCAGTCGACCACGCCATCACGCCACACGACAGCGGCGTGCGCAGCGACGTTCTTCTCGTACGCCAAAGCAATCTTGACACAAGCTTGGGCAAAGAGCGCCAACGTCAAGTGTTTGGCCGACTTGCGCAAAAGCAGGCCGTCCTTTGCCGTAAAGTACCACGCTGTGACCTCGCCATGGTGGACGAAGGCCGTGTCCAGCACCTGCAGCGGCAGCTCCGGCTCCTTCGCCGCCGCGAGAAGGACCCACTCCCAGGACCGCGACGTCCGCGCTTCGTCGAGGTCCACGGTCGGAACCTCGTCCCGCGTGATGTGATGCAGCGGCCGGTCCATTGTCAATGCAAGCGCAACCGCGTCTGAAACCGTTCCATTGATGCCATTGGCTCCTTATTCTTCACCAGTTCACATCAATATCACGGTTTTCACGTCGTCATTACATACCAAATGCAAGTCGAAGCAATGTGGTAAATAGAAACGCACGGTGTGGTGTAGTAGAATTTGTGTTGCAACAGCATGGAGGTGTGGGAGCCGTCGGCCCGCGCGCTCACAAGCGCCGCCAAGGACGTCGCCGTGCTGCTCCGAGGAAAGAACTACCTCCGCGACCAGAAGGCCTTCATGGCCCACCTGCACGCAGACGCCTTGCGCCACACGGCCTGGACGTCCTGCGTCGTCGTGGTCTTTGATGGCATCTTTCGGCGCAGCCCGGACGAAGAGAAGGCGACAGACAACGCGCTCATCACGTACGCGATCATTCCGTGGTGTGAGTCGTTCGGTCGCGCTGTCAGCTACGTGACCGCCACGCGAATGCTCGAAGCCTACTGCGTCGAGGCACTTCCGCTGCGGCTCGCAGGTGCCCTTGTGTCGCCGCTGCCCACATCTTGACGCACCATTCTGTAGGCAAGCTCATGAAAAACTTGTACACGTCATCGCTGCGCAAGATGATTCGATACCAGAACAAGACGCTCGTTGCCAAGCTCATGCTCAAGACGACGGCGCGCGCGTCGCTCCTGACGCACCTCGCGATCTTTCTCGTCGAGCAGGTCTACCTACTTGCACGCAACCCAACGCTCGCCGAAGTTACGAAAGCCAGCGTCAAGAACGCCCATCGGTGCGTGTTGGCGGTTGCCGGCGCTTCGCTGGGCGCGGCTGTCGGGTCGCTCATTGAGCCCGGGCGGGGCACACTCATCGGGGCCATGATCTGCGAAGACCTCTTCACGAGCGACCACTTGAGCAACCACATCTTCTTCCACGGCGAACGGCACTTGGACTTTGCAGCGAAAAAACTCTAGATGTTGTAATTCACGTTCATCCGTCGAGACCCTATCGCTCGCGTGAGTTGATGGCCGACGAATCTTGTGCTGGATGCGGTTCGGGCCAAGAAGTAGCCGCAACATAGTATTGTACCTGGCAGCTGCCAGAACGCAGGCTACAAAGCAGCGCCGCCCGTCGTGCGTTGATAACGCAGCCGAACTAGGTGGCATTTGAAGACACGTCAGCAAGCGATCAGCAACGTGAGCACCCAAGAAGCTCGTGTATAACTCTGTTGGTATAGGCGCTTTACCGCGCGCTGCTTGTCCTTGGCGCGCATCCATCCTCGACCGTTGGCCCTCGCATAAAAGCGTGATGACATCATTTTGATCTGGCCGCCATGTCAACCGTCATCCGCACTTAACCAAGTCTGTCCTCTGTTTTATTTTATAGCTTACAAAGTTTCCAATGTTTTGCAGTTGCCGAATAAAATACTGCGGTGTGGCGATCTTGGTCTTGAAGTGGTTCTTGAAGGGCGTTGGCATTTGGGGATTTTCCATCGACGCCGCAAGACACGAGCATGGTTGACGGCGCTGAGACACTGTACCGCATTGAGCACGACACGATGGGCGACGTGCGCGTCGAGGCGCACCGGTACTGGGGCGCGCAGACGCAGCGGTCGCTCGAGAACTTTACGATCGGCGGCCAGCGCATGCCGCTCGAAATCATCCGCGCGTTTGCGATTCTCAAGAAAGCCGCGGCCCAAGCCAACTTTGAGCTCGGCGTGCTTCCGGAAGCCAAGCTCGAGCTCATTAGCAGCGTCTGCGATGAGATTTCCGCCGGACTCCTCGACGATGAATTCCCGCTCGTCGTGTGGCAAACCGGCTCGGGCACGCAGAGCAACATGAACGTGAACGAAGTCGTCGCCAACCGCGCGCACGTTCTCAACGGCGGCGACCTCCTCGACGACACGCCGCGCGTCATCCACCCGAACGATGATGTCAACAAGTCGCAGTCGTCCAACGACACGTTCCCGACGGCCATGAGCATCGCCGCCTATTCGCTCCTCGTGGACCACACGCTTCCGATGGTCCGTGCGCTCCGCGACGCGCTGCATCAAAAGTCGGTTGAGTTTGCTGACGTTATCAAGATTGGCCGCACGCATTGGATGGACGCGACACCGCTCACAATGGGCATGGAGTTCTCGGGGTACGTGGCGCAGCTCGACCACGCAGTGGCGTCGATCGAAAGCTCGTTGAGCCACCTCTCGGAGCTCGCGCTCGGCGGCACGGCTGTCGGGACGGGCCTCAACACGCCCGCGGGCTACTCGGAGCTCGTTGCCGCCAAGATCTCGGAGCTCTCGGGCCACCCGTTCGTAACGGCGCCCAACAAGTTTGAAGCGCTCGCGGCCCACGACGCGCTCGTCGGCGGCTCGGGCGCGCTCAAGAAGCTCGCGGTCTCGCTCATGAAGATCGCCAACGACGTCCGGCTCCTCGCGTCGGGGCCGCGCTGCGGCATTGGCGAAATCCAGATCCCGGAGAACGAGCCTGGCTCTAGCATCATGCCGGGCAAGGTCAACCCGACGCAGTGCGAGGCCTTGACGATGGTGTGCGCGCAGGTCATTGGTCTCGACGCGGCGATCGCGATCGGCGGTATGAGCGGTCAGTTTGAGCTCAACGTCTTCAAGCCCATGATGATCTACAATTTCCTCACGAGTGCCAAGCTCCTCGGCGACGCGTGCGACTCGTTCCGAAAGCACTGCGTTGTGGGCATCGTCGCCAACCTCCCGGTCGTGCAGTCGCATCTGGAGAACTCGCTCATGCTCGTGACGGCACTCAACACGCACATTGGGTACGAAAACGCCGCCAAGATCGCCAAGAAGGCGCACAAGGAAGGCACGACGCTGCGGGTTGCGGCGATGGACCTCGGCCTCGTCACGTCCGAGCAGTACGACGAGTGGGTCGTGCCCCAAAACATGATTGGCAGCCTGCAGCACTAATCCTCGACCGAGAAATAACAACATATTAGCAAAAAACAACGCTATTGCTCGCGCAGTCAAGGGGCGTATCAAAGGAAAGTCAGTGCTAGCACGATACGAGCGCTAACCTTGCTAGTGGGGACAGCAGACTGAGTAGTGGTGTGCATCATCAGGGCCGTCGTCGCCCGGTCCAAGGTCGTCGCCGCCGCCATCACGACATCAAGCAGCGCCGTCTGTAGAACCGTGATGATGTCGGTTCGAGACTTGATGCATCATGTTGCACAAGGTTCGCCGTTCCCGATGCTCGCTCCCTCATGGCGTCGTGGAATTGATACTAGAATCTAGCTATTGGATTGGTGCACGCGAGTGGTAAAACCACTTCTGATTGGCCGCATCATATACCTTGACAATAGATACTGTTTTACATAAAATATTACGGGTAGCATCTCATAACGTCACTGCATGGCAGAGGGAGGACCCTGCACCCACTCGACTAGGGCTCGTCGTTGACAGGAAGCTTCGTTGCATACTATGCGTCATACCGGGTGCGACGGACTCTGCTTTTGCAGCAAACGTGTGCGAGCGATCCGGAAATCGAAGGATCGAAGGTGGATGCATTGGAAGCTCCGTCCTTTCTGTAGCGCCGTATCTTTTCGTCGTAGGGTCGCGAGAGCACCCCCTTTGTTTACAGATCCAGCGTGAGGATGCGGGTCGTCGGGGATTTTGAGGTCGTCGTCGCCACGACTCCGGGTGCAGACGATGCAACACCGAACGTCAGCCTACGCCTGCGGTGCGTGGCGCTGCACCAGGATGTGCAATGTGAGTGATCTTTCGTAGGTACGTTGGCGCCACCAGCCTCACTTGCGAGTCGGCGCGGTATGTTAAAGTGTGGGTCTACGGCGTCGAAATGGAAGGCGTCGCGCTCTACTCGGAAGCGACGCGCGAGGTGACGCAGTGGGTGCCCCAGCGCCAGCGCAGCACGCCTGCAAATGACCTCGATCGCACGAGGTGCGGCTCCACGCTTTTCGCTGCAACCAATAATCATGGGGATGGGTTCGTTAGCATTGTCTTGCAAGTACGTCGCGCCAAAGTTGAACGGGTGGCCATGGCTGTACCGCTGCAAAAACCTGGCGAGGCCAGTCGAAGCACCATCTGCCCCAACAACAGGTGCACCCCGTCGCTCCTTTCGCCCATCGTCGTCAAGGCATCGTCGGCCATGACGTATCGCCTCTCGCGGGGCGCCAACAGCCCTTCGCAGCGACCGCTCAAGCGCACCAAGGTCAAGCACACTCCTGCATACACGACCATCTCGAGCACGAGTGTCAAGTAGTCGGCGATAGCATGGTCGTCAAGAAGAGTCGTATTACACAGGGTTTATATAAAGATAAGCGGACACCGCGATACGCCATTGCTTACCACATCGTGGCCGCGAGCGTCGCAGTGGCGGCGACGACCGAGAGCGTGGTCGCCGACACACCCGAGGGCGCAGGCGTCGTCGTCGTGGGCTTCTTGGTCGTGGGCGACACGGTCGTGATCGTCGCGTCCGTCGTCACAACAGGCACCGTCGTCACATTGGTCGGTGCGGTGGTCGAGTTGGTGGGCGCAGTCGTCGAGTTGGTGGTCTTGCCGCCGTTCGAGCACGCGGCCTTGGCTTTGGAAAAGGCCGCATGGAGGTCAGTCGACGAGCCGTTCACAGAGCACATCGGGAGCGCCGCGAGCTTGTTTTCCAAGAAGGTGAAGCACGTCTGGTTCGGGCAATCGGTCGTGTTGCCGCTAAAAAACTGCGTCGGAAGCGTGATCGCGGCGTTGCCGTTCGTGCACGACGCGTCCACGGGCGTCTGGAGAAAGGTCGTCCACGACTTGGTCTGCTCCGCGTTGCAGACCTCGACGGTCGCCGCCGAGACGGACGAGAGGGCAAGGGCGAGGAGAAGGGTCGAGCGCAGCATGGCAAATCAAGAAATGCCCGTTGTCTGCGACGCCAAAATTTAGTGCCAGATGCATATCACCATTCAAGGGGTCGTTCGAGCACCCCCTCTACGGAATGTTGAGTGATTCTAGAAACACCGCCGAACTTCAATTTGCGAGGCGGCGACGAATTATTCAATGATTCGACGTGGCCGACCAAGATGGCAAGCCGACATGATGCGGGTGGACAGCCCACGTACGACACGCGACCGACCTACTGACGTCCGTGACCGTGGTGTCGTTCATTGAATCATGGGTTGGACACTGGATTGAAGCCAATATTTAAAATGCGAGCCGTTCTGCTCATTTTTACCCCGAATGACGTGCCGGGTTCCATAAAGGTGGTGTTTCCCAATGGCGCCAGTCCTATGAACGCCACCTCGGCGACGCCGGATGCGATCGGCAATGTGATAGCTGAAGGGCGTGGCGGGCGAACCAATCGGCGGTGGTCGCGTCCTTGACGCGAGAGGCCACGGCCATTACACGGCCGCTCCGTCTCCGGCCATTGCCCCCTCTCGAGTAGCCGCTGCATCCTTGAAGACATGCCACGATCAATTGCGAAAGCTTGCGAAGAACCCAACTCCAAGGAACCTAAAACGAGGTGAAGAGATGATGCATCGACCTTGGGAACGCAGCTGCAAGCATGTCTGTTGACAGGCCTTTTGTTCTGTTCAGCGTCTTGTGCTCCCACATCATCCGTGTGTTGGAGAGATGTACACCTTGACGCGACAGCCGCATGCGCCGTCGCCACGTGCTCGGAGCGAATGCGACGCAGGTGCAATCGAAGGAAGGACAGCCAATCGCGAAATGCGTAATCTCCTCGAATGGAATCGGTGCACGTCCCGGCGAGATCCGCTCTGGTGGCGACGACATGTAATAGCTGCGGCGCCGTGGGAGGCTGGCTGGCCCCAAACTTGCAGTACCGAGGGTGCAAGGGCGTGACAAGTCTTCCATTGCATTTTGCGCATGGAAGCTTGTACCCGAGCACATGGCAACGACGCCGTGTCGACAGCGCCGAGGTGCCCGCCAAGCAGCCCACGAACGGTCAAGATCCCAGTCCATCACTCCAGGTAGTAGAGTGTAGGTCGTGCCAAACCTTCGCGACGTTTTGTTGGGTGTTGCAAACGAAGGGCTCTATGGTAGAAAAGCGAAATAATATGCAATTGCGTCTGTATATAAAGAAATTAGACCGCGTGCGAGTGGCATATTTGATACTGATACTTGTCGCTGGCCTATATTTATATGCTGGGATCGAGACCGACATACATATTGCAAGATGGACGATGGACAGCACGACGAGGCCGCGCGGGTCGCGGAGCTCGACCGTGTCCTCCTGCGCCTGGGCCTTACCGACGACGACAAGCTCTGCGACGTCCTGCGCCTGCTCTTGCCCCAGCTCTTCCAGCGCCTCATCGAGACAGGCGCGGCCTCGGTCACTGCCAAGGTACCGGCGCCATGGACACCTAGTACCTTCATGCTTCCTGCGTCTGTAGATCCTCGACATCTTTGCGCATCTCATCAAGCGCCTCAAGACGTTTCCATCCATGCGCGTCATGCTGCCGCTCGCGCCGCTGCTGGCCTTCCTCGACCCGACCGAGCACCTCGTGCAGACGAACGCTGCGTACGCGCGCAACTTTACGGTGCTCTTCCTCGAGCTCGGGTTCCCCGCGCAGCCCGACGACGAGAAGATGACGATCCTCTCGACGCTCTTGAGCGGACTCGCGACCAAGAGCGCGTCGGTGCAAGATACCTTCTTTCGCCTCCTCCTGCACTCGTTCCGCTTTCAGGCATCGACGCCGATCCGCGTCCCCGCGTCGACCGATGACGTGCAAGTCCTCCTCGACTACCTCCTCGACGTGCTCTTGTGTCCCGCCGTCTCGACTGCGCGCAGCGAGCGCCTCCAGCGGACCAAGTTTCTCTCGCTGGAGAAGGCGTCGCGCACCGACATTCAGCTCAAGGTCGTCCAGTTTCTCAAAGGCGTTGTTGCTGGCACCGACGGCGTCGACATCGCGCTGTGGTATTTGCACTTTGCGGTTGGTGCGACCGCCGAGTTCCACACCATCAGCACGTACTGCCGAGAGGAGCTCGACCGCCTTCACAAGTACCAGCTCGAGATGCTCGACAACGCAGCGGCCATGTCGCTCTTTGCCCGGAGCCTTCTCGGTCAGTCGGCGCCGTCTGAGCTTGGAGGTCTCTTATTAAACGACCGGTCGCCGCTCCCCGAGGCTGTTGCTCTTCATATTGTACCGCTGCTGTGTCTCTCCAAGGCCGCAGCCAACGTCTTTCCCATGAACCTGCAACTCATATGCACCCTCCTCTTTGGAAACGTGACGGCCAAGCCGCTCACACAGCCGATCCGTAAGGCTGGCATCGACTTTTGTGTCTGGACGTTGAGTCACTCGGACGAGGCGATGGTCGTCGCGGCGCTCGGGCCCGTGCTATACACGCCGCTCATGAAGCTTCAGCAAGACCAAGAGTGCAGCACTTCGGTGCGCCACGGCGTCTACTCCAGTCTATCGATTCTTGCGACACGTTGTCCAGCAGTACGCCTTTCACGTGTTGTTCTAGGTGTAGTCACAAATGACGTAGGTGATTGCGGCGTCGGCTGAGCCGTTCCAGCACCTCTTGTACCGCGCAATGCGCGAAGAAGACGAGTCGCGCTCCGGCAGCGTGTGTCTCGAGGCCCTGAGAACGCTCTGTACTGCCTATATGAGTGGCTCGGCCCCTTCTGCCGTGCTAGCGACCATCAAGCGCGAGATCCACGAGCTCGGCGATGCGTCGTCGGTTATGCAGCCCAAGTTTGACCGCATTCGCGGCATCCTCGCGTTTTGGGCGTCCCAATTGCTCTTCTCCAACGCGACGGAGTCGCCTGGTGGGGACGTGTACCTTCGTCGGGTGCTACTGCGGTTCGCAGGCGATGCCAGCGACCAAGTGCGGGAGATTTGCGCCGCTGCCATCATGCAGACCCCACTGCCGCCATTCGCCAACGTCGTTTCCGTTTGTTCGCCAGCGTCCATGCTGACACCAACGGCGTCTGAAGCAGTCTTGCGCGGCACACTGCAGTTCTACTTGGCGTGCTTGGCGGCGAGCGATGTTGCTGGCCTCATGCCCCCAGACGTCAATGCACTTGTCGAGGCATGCATAGGCCTCATCGGGGCCGGTGGCAGTCAGGCGTTCGTTGCGTCCGAGGCGCTGGTGCAACTGGCGGGCCTTCCCGCGGCACGACCGTTTCTCCACGAGCAGCTACGCACGCTGGTCGCCATCTTGCTCTCTGTCGAAAACGCGGAGGTCCGTGAGCACGTGGCGATTACAATCGGGTTCCTCGAGCTTCCCGAGATCGATTCTCACGGTCTCGCCATGGAGCTGCAAGCGCACGTTGCGAGCGACCATTGGCCCGAGCGTCACGGCGCCCTCTCAGCCTTGAGCATGCTCGCTCGGTCGCTGCGCAATTTGGACGACGGCATTGCATCGCGCGTGCTCGTGCTGCTTCAACGCACGCTAGAGCCTCTCTTGCTCGGCCACGCCAGTGTCTTATCGGCTCACGACGCCAAGCTGCAGTATGCCCATGTGTTTGCCTACACACAAGTCCTGGGCGCGCTCGCTGCCGCTCAATCGGTGGCCAACCTTCCACTCATGCTGGCCGTGCTTCTGGATGTGCTCAAGCTACCGTCCAAAGATCCCGACATGGCCGAAACCATCGATCGTCTCCACTTGCGCGCGCTCCAGTCGCTCGCCTGTCTCTTCTACCACAACGACGACACCGCGACCCTTGTCGACGAGACGGCTTCGGCGCTCATCACGGCGTACAGTGACCGAAAAGACGTGTCGTTTCAGTATGGCATCGGGCAGCTCTTCGTCGCCATGGGCCACAGCCGTGACGCGCCGTTGACGTCGCTCGTGTCCCAGGTAACAACGCTGCTATCTTCGCCGAGTCCGCACTTGAAGGCCAGCGGCGCCCTGTACCTCTTTTGCATTCTCTTGGCAGCGACATCGGATGGACCGTGGCGCGAGTTCATTCGGCGTCCAGGCACGGCTACCTCCATCCATGACAGCGCGATTGACTTGCTCAACGAAGCCAACGCATTCACACAAGAGTGCGCCGTGAAATCGCTCACATTATTGTATACGCTGGCGTCAGCTCCCGACGAGCTCAGTGACACGCTCTTCAAGCGCCTCAAGTGCTACCGCGCCTTCCTAAACGCGCCGGCGGCGACAGCACCGACGGCAACCGCCGACGACGCGACCTCGGCGGCCAATGCGATCGAAAATGCGTGTTACCGCGAAGTCAGTACGGTCGCAGCCGAAGTCGGCGACCCCAGTGTCATGTACACGCTGCTCTATCTCTGCACGAGCGACCCGACGTGGGGCGCCCTCCGAGCGCCCGTGACGGTCGGCGTCTCGCGCTTCATTGCAGCGCCGCTGCAGCTCGACGTGTTGCATACGGCGTTTTCCAAGAGTCAGATCGAGCGCGCCCAAGTGACGTGGCATGCGTCGGCGGTCGCGTCGCGCCTTGTGCCGCGCCTCTTTCTTCTGAAAGCCCACCCGAACCCCAAGATCAGCGGCTGCATGCTCCAGCTCTGGACGCTGCTCAAGTCGACCAAGCCGGACCTGGTTCACGAGTATTACGAGGTCTTGATGGCACATGTTCTCGGCCGCACGACCAGCAAGAACTTCAAGTACCGTGAGGCGTCATGCGCCGCTCTCGTCGAGCTGCTTCAAGGACGGACGGCGGATCAAGTGGCTGCGTATTTGCGAGACCTCTGGAAGGCGACCGCACGCGCCGTCGACGATGTCAACGAGTCGGTCGTCGTTGCTAGTACGCTCAATCGCGTCTGGGTTATCTTCTTATGCTCTGTCGTAGGTATCAAGCTCGTCAAGTGCGTGGGCGAGCTGAGTGTGCGCGTGGCGACGGCCGACGTCTCGTGCGTGGACGCGGTGCTGCCGTTCCTTGTTGACGAAGGCATTGTCTCGAGCAACAAGCTATGCCAGGGCCTCTGCATGGGGTACCTTCTTCGGCTTGTGCAGCAACTGCCGCCGCACCATCTGCAGGCGCATCTCAGAACGCTCCCGATCACACTCCTCGCGTGCATGAGCTCGCTTGAAATGCCCGAGCTCCAGTACGCGCAATTCCACGTGCAAGACAAGCGCCAACTCGAGAAGCTCCGCGTGTCGTTGAGTCAGGCCGGTCCCGTGGGCGAGCTCCTCTCTGCGTGCTTGGCACAGCTCTCGCAATTGGCTCGTGAACACAGCAACATCGTGTCGGACATCGTGGGCACACTCTGCACCGGTGTTTGCACGACGCTTCGGTCGGGCGTCGGTCTCAACACGCGCGTCGGCGCCGCCAACTTTGTCGTGTCGCTCGTCGCGGACGTGCCGCACGAGATGCGGTCCAGCGGTGGCGCCGAGAAGCTCCTCAAGTCCATTTTCACCCCGTACATGGCCCATATGGTCCTCACTGAGGCGCGTGATGGCAGCAATGAGAACGACGGACCCGATACAGCGGCCCAAGAAGACGGCTTGCGCGATGGTCTTGTCGTCCGCGCGTATGGCCGGGCGGCTGCGTATGTCGCCAAGCTCGTGCCAACGCATCTTGTCGACGCGTACGTTGCCCAAGCGCTCCTTGCTGTGCCGACGTCCATTGTATTTGCGACCGACGCTGGCAGCACGACAACGACGGACCTCGGTCGCTACGGCTGGGTCACGGCGACCGCGGCTGCTGAGCTTCTGCGTCAACTGCCGCCGACGCGCGAGAGCAGTGCCAGCGCCACTTCTGACGACGACTGGTGCCAGCGTCTGTTTCCCGTCGCATTTGCAGGACAATTTGCCAACTCGACGGGTCTCGGTGCAGCGTGGACGACCGTGCTCGAGTGCATTCCGCCGACACTGTCGTACTCGTCGCGGTACATCACGGCCGCGCTATCGTATGCGACAACGCTCGTGGGGCACTTGTCGTGGGAGGCGCGCAAGCAAGGCGCACTGGCGCTCAAGACACTCACCGAGCCCTCGTATGCGCCGTACATAGCGTCGTGGTCGGCCACGCTCTCTGCGCTGGAAGCAGCGATCCCGGGAAAACTTTGGCGCGGCAAGGGCGTCGTCCTCGAGGCACTCGTCCACGTCGCGAAACGCGAAAACGGTACCGACCGACATGGCCTCTTGGAGCTGCTCTTGCACGAGTGCGACCGCGCCCGCCGCAGCCACGATGTCTCGTATCTCGAGAGTGCGATCGTTAGCGTCGCTGCCGTTGCTGCCGTCGCCCCCGACGCGCCGCCTCTTGCGGCCTTTGAGCAACTCCAGCGCTTCTTCTTTCTCGAGGAGGACGAGCAAGAAGCTGCACCGAGAAGCGTGCCACCGCTCGTGATCAAGCGCATGTTTGAAGCCCTCGGTGCATGGTGGCCGTCGTCACCGCCGACATTGGCCGACGCACCAATCGCAGCGCAAACACGAGTGCTGTCGTGGCTCACGCGTGAGGTCCTGTCGACGCCTCGCTTCCACGTCTGGAGCATCCGCGAATCGGTGTTCCTCTGCCTCGGCTGCGTGCTCCAGGGCGTGGACGGGCGGGTCCTCGAGAACCGACAAGTTGTCGCCGACCTTGTCGCCGTGTGTGTCGGCGACGACGGTATGCGCGACCCAAAGTACATGGCCGTGCGCAAGGCTGCGACGACCTCGCTGCTGGCGCTGGTCCATCGCGACGGGCCATTGCCTGTGGCGTTTGTCGTCTACAAGGAAGACGTGCTCGCGACCGCCGCAACTCTCGCCGAGGAGTCGGAGCCCACCGTGTGTGCGCTCGCGACGCGTCTCCTCGAGGCGCTTCGCGTGAAATCTTAGAGGACGTAATGTGCAATGTGATTCGGTCTCATTTAAGCTACAACGCCCGGCGGCTATCGCGATTGCGCAGCTCGAGAAGGTGGTCGCGGAGCTTCTGCAGTCGCGCGCGCGGGTCTTCTGTCGGCTCTCCCGAGTCACCCTGCGGAGGAATCGGGTCGGCGCTGGCAACCGCAAGGCAAGCGACAACGACGAGCAAGAGGAGGGTGTGGAGCGCGCGAACCATTCTGGTGCGTCAAATTCAAATCTGGCGCGCAGGCAGGAAACTGAAAGGATCCGTCTGGTTTTGGCGCGAAACCAAAAACCACCTGCGCTCTCGTATGGCGACAAAGCGCCCGAGCTCTCTCGCAATCAGACTCTGGGAAGGATTTGGCTCATGTATTTAGCCGTGGCTTGAACAATACGACATGCAAGACGTTGCGACGCTACTTAGAAAGTGCAGATACGGCTGAAGCGGTCGCGGTCCCTCGCTTGCTGCAGCTGCTGGAATCGGAGCTCGACAGCGGCAATGAGGCGGTCGACGTCACGGGGCTCGACCATCGTTGATGCTGTCGTTGCGGCAGCGAGCAGTACGAGCAGCAGCAGCCCTATCGTACGGGCACAGAGAGGCTGCATGGTCTGCGATGTTGACCACTCTTTCCACACAAAGACGTACGATAAATATAAACTTGTTTGTATCAATGTATCGAGACCCGTTGCCGACTAGGTGAGCAAGCGGGGCAGTACGAGGTCGACGCAGTACATGGCGCTGCAGCTCAAGACAAAGCCGACGTTGGCGATCCACAGGACAACAACGCTGGCGACGGGGTGGCGCTGAACGTCGGTCTTCGCCTTGCGCACGCGCGGGTGGGCCGCGACCGCCAGCACCGTTTGGACCGAGATGCGCTCGATCCGTTGCGACGCTGAGCATAGTAAATCCCAGACGATCGGCGCCGCTTCAAGGAAGAATGCATGGACTTGGCGTGCGTGCCATGCGATCGGGAGACCGAGCGTCGCCTGCTGCTGCGCGACAAGGGCCACGAGCTGCGATTGAAGCGCGGTCTTCTCGAGCAAGAGCGCATCGATCTGGCGGCGGAGCTCCGCGATGGCCGGCGAGTCCGACTGCACTGCATTGAGCGACACGTTGTTGCAGATTTTACGCACGCGCTGGGCGTACTCGAGCGAATTCAGCGTCTCGCTCAAATGGCGCTTGGCAGGACTCACGCAGGCAAGCATCAATGTCTGGCTGTTGCCACCTAATTTGCGTTCGTGTCAGTTCATGCTGTGCTTTGGAGGTGTACCGAGCGCATCTTGGAGCAGTCGCGTGAGCTTCGAGTCACGGTACGGCACGTGCGCCTTCTTCTCGCTGAGCGCGTTCATGACGTTGCCGAGCGCGAGGAGGCCTTTGTTGATGTTGACCCCTTCGCGAAACCGGAGACCTTCGGCGAGCGTCTTCTTTTGCCGCTCCGAGCCGGCCAAGTCCACAAAATGGAGCTTGGAGCGCAAGCTGCGACACTCGTTGCGCTGCTGCAAATGCAACGTGAAGATCGCGTGGGACCGCGAGCTCGTAGCATTCATTTTGGTCGCGGCCGTCGTGCGGTGTCGAAGGCCGTCGAGGAGGCGCCGGTGGCCGTCGTCAGCGCCCTGCACGATCACGGGCGACAGTGCATCCGTGACTTTGAGCAGCGTCTGCTTGGCATAGAGATCGCGCACGTCGTCGCCGTAGATTTCGCAAAACGTCACATGGGCAGCCCATGCGTCGTCGCCCTTTAGCTGCGCAAAGATGGCTTCGAGCGCCAATGGAATGATGCCCCGGGGATTCACGCCGTCGCTGCCCATCGAGTACGATTTGCCCGAGCCTGTCTGGCCGTACGCGAGCACAGTCGCGTTGTAGCCGGCGAGAAACGAGGCCAAGAGCGGCTCGACCGGCGCAAAGACGGCGGCGTCGGTCGCCGTGTCGTCGAAAACGTAATCGAATTGCAGTTGCTTCTTCTTACTCGGCACAAGTACGAGGGGGTGCGTCGGCGCCTTGAGAACGCTCTCGATACGGTCGAGGCTGCCCATCGGCCGAATGCGGACCGCCACCTGCACGTGCTGGCGGCTCGGGCCTGGCTTGGCGGCGGCGATTGGTTGGACGCGCGCGGTCCTCGCTATCTGCTTCGTCGTCGGTCCCATCTCTATCTCTCACTGCTGCTTGGTTGCTTACGTAGTCGGTATGTAGTATCTACCGTCAAACGATTTGGAGAGTGCAATGTATGTCAACTTGATGGCGCGCGTTCGAAACGAGCCAATCCCCATCTTTAGCGCACCTGTCCCGTGGGTTTTAAGACTATAACCTACGGTTGGCCAGCCGGTAAACTCGCGAAACGCGTGAGTGACGCAGGGTCTCGCAAAGGGACGCAAGGGGTAGCGTGGTATACGTCACCATCGCGCGCTGAATGCTGCGCGCCAAGCCTTTCTTGAAGCCGCCGTCGCAGCCTGATCCTTCTCGGGCACCGGCGCCTCTCCACGTCCGTTCAAGGTCCCTGGTCTGTTGCACCGGACGGCGGACACGTGGCGCGCTGTGCGGACAGCTCGCAGCCCAAGTCCTCGGTTCGCTTGTGCTGAAACGCGTGCAATCTCTACTGGTTGGCTACAATGAAACGAGTCCGATCGCCACGCGTCGCCTTCCGAGCGACGAGAGGCAGCCACGTCACGGAGCTACTCGCTCGCGGTCATAGAGCCGACACCAACTGCGCCGGGAACGTTCGGTGGATCTGCGACGGTGGGTCGTGTGCCCCTTCCCACCGCGCGGCTCTCGTGCTCGACGGTGGTCCCGAGATGTCTCGAGTCTTTGCAAATTGCATTTACTTACGCATTGTCACATCGCCGACTCTTGAAAACAAAAGATATTCGATGTGAGAAGCTACGCCTTGCGGTCCCGTGTCAGCTGTCGCTCGAGCTCGTCGAGCGCGGCGTCAATGGTCTCTTCGCTCAGTGCAAAGTACGGGAAGCTCAAGACGTGGTACCCGCTGCCCGTGAGGTGGCGCTTCTTCATGCGCGATCGGAGCCGCATCTTGCGCTTCCAGTAGCGCGACGGACCATCGATCATGATGAGCACGCCATGGTCGCGGTGCGCGGCTACCGGCCAGTGCACCTCGACGTCCGCCGTGTAGCCAATGTCCGTCATGACGTTAATCTCAAAATGCAGATGACGGTCCTCTAACGCCCGCGTCACCGCATCGAGGCCCGCGGGCACAAAGGCGCTGCGGCCAGATTCGCGGCTGCTGTCGTCCGCCATCATAGCAGCTCGGGTCGCCGCGTAGAGCGAAGGATACAAGGTCGTCAGCGGCGCGTCCGAGGCCAGCGACGCCTCGAGCATAAACTGGTACAGCTGTCGCTTCTCGAGGAGACCCAGTTGTACCGTCGACAAGCCGTCCAGGACGCTCTTGAGCGGCACAAGGTCGGTCGCTTCAAAGAGGGCGAGTGCCCAGAGCGCGTTGCAGAGGTTCTGCGGCTTCGCGAGCCAGTCGGGCAGGCGCTGCGTCATGTGCTGCACGACAGCCTCGAGCACCGTTGTCGAGAGGCCTTGGTCGGCTTTTGCAAAGCCAGCGACGATATTGCCAATGTTTTGCGTCGTAAAATCTTGAAGCGGCCTCGCCTCGAGGTGGTCGGCGACGGCCTCAAAGACAAACGACCCGTGGTTCGGGTGCGACCGCATGAAGCCCCAGATCAAGTTGCCGAGCTCTTGGGGCTTAAAGTCGTCCAGACCATGGGTGGCCACGTAGGTTTCCGCGGCGCCATACACGGACGCACCGTAGGCGCCGGCGGTCGCGTAGCTCCAGACGATGTTGGCGACGTGCTGGGGTCCGACGCCTCTGTCGTTCGTAATGAGTTCGACAAGACGGTCTTCGACATGGTTGAACGCAGCGCACGACTGGGCGCTAAACCGGTTGGACGCGAGGCCGTGCACGACCATGCTGAGCTCCGTGAGCTGAAACTCGTCCAAGTCCATTTCGCTGACAAAGTAGTCAATCAAGGCGGAGATGACACTATCGGGCGCCCGCGCTCGCGTGAGTCCATGCAGCGCGTTGCTAAAGTCGCGCGCCGTGAGCTCAGGCAGGCGGCGCGTGAGCTCGGATGCAAGGTCGTGAAAGATCTGCTTGTCGACGTCGGCAAACTTGTGGTAGGGCGTACGCAGCTTCCCGAGGCGGCTCGCAGTCATGGCCAAGTGGAGGCGCGTGAACTGAAGATTGTCTTTGGCGTACACGTCGAGGAGGCGCGACACCGACTGCGTCGACGCGATCCGGTCGTTCAAGTTGGGCTTGCTCCACTGCTTGGGCTTCCGCTTCAGAACGCCTGGCGACGTCGAGAAGGCTGCAATGGGAGGCCTACTGTCAAAGAGTAATGCTGACTGTAATCGTAACTGCGTCGGTACCTGAGCGCGGGGCAACGACAAGCGAGGACAGCGCGGCCGAGCATCACAACAGGTACGTTGCTTTGGTTGGCTATGGCCCGAGGTGAAACTCAGGTGCTACCCCGTTTTCGTCTCAATTTTGGCATATCTGTTCAGTATTTCAATAGTATTAGAGACTGTTCTGAGATATATTGATCAAAAAGGACAGTATAGATAAATGTTGAGCACGTCAAAATGAGCAAAAGGGGATAAACACGCACGCTGGAGACTCTCGTTCATCCCGCTCAACGACTCTCTGGAGCACATATGAGCACCACGTCCTACCGTGTTAATACGCGGGCAATACGAGCCGAGTTGGTCACTAAGAATTAGCATGAAGGGTGGTAGCGTGGCCTGCAGACGTCACGCAACATTCAAATGCTTGCCAGACAAAGTGGCTTCGTTGCACGGGAAACTGCCACGTCATTCGACACCACGATCGATACCTGCTACATAGTACTTCCTTGCTTTGGGCGTCAACAAAGCGACATCACAAGGCGTTTACGCTAGGATCAGTTTGTTTGGATGACTGCCGTGGCGAGAGCAGGACCCATCCAGGAGCGCTTGAGGGTTCCGTTGCAGCTAAAGTGTCCAGGGGAAGCAACAACTTGTTGGCGAAGGCTCGACAGTCGAGTGCGAAAAACACAGATATGCAAAAGTGACGAATGCGGAGTACATTACGCAGGATAGGACGAGTAGCAATAGCATATTATAAGATAGAGCAGAGACCGCGCTTCTTCTGCGGTGGCAGGCGCTTCTTGCGCGCCTCGACGACAAACTGTTCAAAGATTGCGTTGACGTTCGTGCCCGTGAGCGCACTCGTCTCCATGTACGTCGCATTGTACGAGGCCGCGACGCGCCGGCCCTCATCGCTCGTGACCTGTCGCTTTGACGGGTCTTGCTCAACGAGGTCCTTCTTGTTGGCGACCAAGATGATCGGCGGCAGCACTCGCTTCGTCTCGTTGATCTGCAGGTGGAGCTCAAAGAACGGCTGCAGCTCGTGGAGACTCGTGCGCGAGTCCATGGCATACACAAAGATGTAGCCGTCCTTGTCCATCATCCACTGCGCGCGAAGCGACTCAAAGTCATCTTGACCCGCCGTGTCGAGGATCTCAAGCATGCACAGCTGGTCCTGCACCTCGATCGTCTTGCGGTACGCGTCTTCAATCGTCGGGTCCCAGTCCCGCACAAAGTAATCCTTGACGAAGCGCAGCGTGAGCGCCGACTTGCCGACACCGCCGCTGCCCAGCACTGAGACATGAAAGGTCTCGTGGCCAGACGCGGCCGGCAGCGACTTGTAGAACCCTTCGCCGCCGCTCACGTAAAGCGTGTCGTTGTTTTGGAGCTCGTCGACCGAGTGAATCTCGGCGCCTGACGCGAGGAAGAGCCGCTTCGCCTTGACGCCAAGCTTCTTGCTTGCGAGGGCCTTGAGCTTGGCAAGGTTGTCGCCGGCCTTGAGGGGCACGACCTTGCCCTCGGACCCGGCCTCGTTCTTGTAGACGAAGAGACGGACCTCCATGGTGGCCCGAAACACAAACTGACGCGATGACCAGCAAAAGTGCGTTTTATTCCGATAACTTGGTGTTTGTATGGCTTTCACCTCGGTTCGTCAAATTAAATTTTGCCTCTCGAAGTTCGAAGCCTTCCGGCAGCGATGAGCGGCAGCGGCAACGGCCCAGCTCCGTCTTGGCACGTGGTGTCACGGGCGCCCGATCTGTACCACGGCGCCCGCTCGCACTACTCTATGCGCGGAATGGTAGCCAAGTCACAGCGCTCACAATTAAGCAGCTATGGGCGAGGAGGCGTCGACGCAGAAGCGGGGCGGCAGATCGCCGGCGACGTCCTGCTGTCGACAGGGATTGTGCGAGCTAGATTCAAGGCACGAGATGGGATGTAGCACGTCACTGACCATTACGATATGCATCGTAGCAACTACAGGATAGCGCACATGTGCGACTTTTTCCGTGTTGGCCGGACCGTGCGATTCCTTCGGACGAGTCCCACGAGCGCGTCAAAGACGGCAGGCACGTTCTCGCCCGTGAGCGCACTCGTCTCGACGTAGGTGGCGTTGTACGCTTGGGCAATCCGGCGGCCTTCTTCGGTCGGCACTTGACACTTGGCCGCGTCTTGCTGGATGACATCCTTCTTGTTGGCGACCAAGATGATCGGCGGCATCGGTCGCTTGTTTTCGTTGATCTGCATGTGCAGCTCGAAGAACGGCTGCAGCTCGTGGAGACTCGTGCGCGAGTCCATCGAGTACACAAACACATAAGCGTCCTTGTCCATCATCCACTGCGCGCGGAGCGACTCGAAATCGTCTTGTCCGGCCGTGTCGAGAATCTCGAGCATGCTCACGCGCCCTTGGACCTCGATGGTTTTGCGGTATGCGTCTTCGATCGTCGGGTCCCAGTCCCGCACAAAGTAGTCGCGCACGAAACGAAGCGTGAGCGCCGACTTACCGACGCCGCCGCTGCCGAGCACGGAGAGCTGGATGGTCTCTTGCCCGGAAGACATGGGCACGCTCTTGTAGAAGGCTTCGCCGGCGCTGACGTAGAGGGTGTCGTTGTTTTGAAGCTCGTCCATGGACTGGATTTCGGCGCCTGATGCGAGAAAGATGCGCTTGGCGCGCATGCTCAGCTTCTTTCCGGTCGTCGACTTGAACGCGGCAAAGGTATCACTGGGCTTCACGGACACGACCTTGCCCTCGGAGCCCGCCTCGTTCTTGTAGACGAAGAGTCGCTTGTCCGTCATGATGCGAGGCGATCGATATCGCAAATGAGACTGCGGTGCACGTGGACGACAATGGCCTGGAGGCGACTCTACCGCGCTTCGATCGAATGCCACATGGGTTCTCAAAACTGCGGGATGTCGAGTTTTCAGAACCGGCGCGTTGACCAATCACACGCGATTATATTTTAATCTATGCTGTATTTCAGCCAATGATATCGCAACGATGGACCTCAAACTCAATTGTGGACTGCAATCCGTCTCTTTTTGGTGTCTGAGTAGCGTGAAAGAGTGAGGCTTTGTGGTCTCCCACTGTATCTGGCAGTTCGGGGCCGTGAAATCGATTCTGAGATGGACGTGTGATCGTGGACAGTATTGCGTGTCAATCAATGAGCATAGCGGGTCATGATAGCGGGAGGTCGCATCAAGTCCACTACGGTCTACGAAGCAGCAACCCTGCCCCAACTAAAATTTAGGCCTGCGATGTGAAGAAGAAGCTTAGCATGATTGGGGTCCATCCCGAGCTGTTCCTCTTATAGGTTAACTTACGAAAGCAGAACAAACCAACCTGTGTGTTCATGGTGCGAACTGTTCGATGTGCTCCGACTCACACTGTCAAGACAGAAGATTTCAAACATTTTGTCATGAGAGGCGGGCGCCGTACCGCACGTTGTGCACCGCATATCGAAGGAGCACTTCGGAAAACGACTCTGAATACTCGTTCGGCAACGTACCCCCGTCCGCGCTATCAGCTACCGCACGCAATCATTTTTTGCAATGGCCAAAATCAGTGGGTCAAAATCCTGCTCAAACTCAGCACTTGTGGTTTGATAGCCACACAAATCTCCAAGCAAGGGCCACCACTTAACTCTAGTGTGCACGAGCGTAGTAGCAGTGAAGCTAAAAGAATGGTTCCGAGGGTTCGACCCATGGGCCAATGCCAACACCTCATAGATGCACGTTGTTTTCACTCTTGGTTGTCAGGCGGTTGAAGTCCATATTTTGCAGGACCCTCCTCCCCTTTTATTGTAGGTCCCCTACTAGGGTGGGTCCCCTCCTCGGTCATCAAGCATGGATCGCTGGCAGCGAATTCTTTATCCGACGATGATGCTTGGTCGCCTACCAGCCGTGGGCCGCGTCTTGGCCAGCGCCCGCCGCACGTTCCACTCGTCCATCGCACTTCAGTACGCACCTTCGGTAGAGAGGCGGCGCTCATGCCGCTTGCGCTAGGCACGGCGCTGCGCCCGTCGGTGGCCCCACGGTGCCGATCAACTTTCGGCTCAAGGACGGCTCGATCAAGCAGGTAGCGGCCGCCGTCGGCACCTCGATCTTGGACGTCGCGCACGCTTTTGAGATCGACTTGGAAGGTACCGCTCGTGCCATGCACATCCTTTGCCTGACGATGTGTGCAGGCGCGTGCGAGTCGTCGCTGGCCTGCTCGACGTGCCATGTGATCTTCGAAGAGCCCGTCTTTGACGAGCTTCCGGAAGCCTGCGAGGACGAGGAAGACATGCTCGACATGGCCTTTGGGCTCACGGCCACGTCGCGCCTTGGCTGCCAGGTCATGGTCACCGAGGAGCTCGCCAACGCGATCGTATGCATTCGATTCGTTCTGCGAGCACACGTCTCACGATCGAGTAGGTAACGCTGCCTGCGGCGACGCGCAACTTTTATGTGGACGGACATGTGCCCAAGCCGCACTAGGTCGTTCGTCTCCTTGGTCCCGTACACAACTCCTCGGTATCCGACAGAGACGCTCGTTTTCCTATATAACTTTAGCAGCGTCCTACAACTCTTACTCGTCGCCTACGATCCTCGTGTATACAGTATGGTACAGAGCAGCTACGCCTTTGGCGCAGGCAGCGTATCGACTGGAATGAGCTCACCGGCCTCGAGGGCTGGCGCAACTGCATCGCCTTCCGTGGCAACTTGGCGGTGATGACCGCCGCGTGGCCGCAAGAGCTGCTTCTTCACACTAGCATCGTCGCCATATCTCTCGGTCTCGTCGTCGTCATCGGTAGGACTCTCGTGCCCCGGCTTGACAGGGTTCGGTGACGCTGGCGGGTACTTTGTGTACAGGAGCGTGCTCAGCATGACGCAGATCGAGGCGATGTACCCCGGTGCCCCAAATGCCTTGCCGTTCCAGACGCTCTCGAGCACGGCCGTCAAGAGCAAGCCGAGCACAACCGCAAAGCTCTTCTTGATGTTGCCCGAGTACTTGATCACAAAGCCGACAAGAACACCGCCGCATGCTTGTATGAAGAGCGTCACCAACGTCAGGCCCGTCCAGCCATCCCAAAGCGGTGACGCGCTCTCCGCCGACGCGCCGAGCACAATGGGCCAGACGTTGGTAAAAATGCTGATGCCCGCTAGCTCGATCGTGACGACGTACGCGTCACGCGCCTCGCGCTGCAGCGCCTTCTGAATGATTGTGCCGGCGAGCGCCGAGAGCACGGCGGCAATGCAGGCACGTGTCATGCCGGTGATGCGTGCGAGCTCGTCGGCGACGACGGCATTGGCCGAGCGGCCGCCGACCGCGATGAGCACGGCCGAGGCGACGAGGAGCACGAGCGCGCCGAGCTGAATATGGGACTGGCGCTTCCCCAGCATGTAGTACACAAAGAGCGCGGTCCAGATGATCTTGGTCTGGTTGAGGACGTTGTACGTGACGCCGTCGAGCAAGATGACGGCCGTCTGGTTGAGGTAGTCTTGAACGACGTAGATGCAGGCGGGCAGCACCGTCGTGCGCAGCGCAATTGCCGGAGACCACTGCGAGAGCTCTTGCCGGCAGCGTCCGCTGACAAGCAGCGGTCCGAGCGCAAGGCCCACCTTCATGACGTTGATGACGACGATGCGCAGCGGGACGTTGGTGGCCTCGGCAGCGTACCACGCCATCAAGACAGGCTGCACGCCGATCTGCACCGCCAGCAGCAGCAGGAAGACCGAGCTCTTGCACGTATTCACCGAGTCGTCGATCATCGGCGGCGCCTCCTGCATCGCGCCAGTAGCTCGATGCAACCTGATCTCTTGCAACTGTCGATGCTAGCAACCCGTCGCAAAAACCGTCTAACCAATTCCCGTAGACAAGTACACGTAGCTGTTGACGCGGCAGGGTGACGCGCCGTGGTCTCCAGAGTGCATACAAAAAGCTAGTTGAACCGATATACAGTATTTCTATTCGATCCATCCAGATGGACTCGGAGAGCCCGGTGGCTGGACCCTGCAGAAGACTGCACTCCGCGGCATACTTCGGTACACTAGCGAGTCGCCGAGGCAGTGTGACCGGTTCCGTTGCACAGTCAACGACACCTCGCTCGCGCTCGACTTCGACGAAGAGGACATCGGCGCGCGGGTCAGCAGCTTTCTTGTCAAGGCCGGCAAAATGATAGAAATGCATGGCCTTGAGCTGGCTGTTTTCAAGCTTCTCAGTGAGGTCATGTTCTTCAATCGTTTGGCCGGCCTTGACAAGAAAGCTGCTGACCCGCGCGCCGATGTCGTCTTCGTCGAAGTCGAGCGCGAGCGAGGTGAAAATCTTGTCGTACGTGAGCATCGCCTTGTTAGCTCATTTGTCGATGATGCCGTTGATCTCTTCCCAAAGCTTGTCTTCGGGCACGTTCAGCAGGCTGTAGTCGCCCCTACGGTCCCACGAGGTCTTCATCAGGAACTCGAAATACCCCATGGGAGCGAATGAGTCACGGACCGGAGCACACGTCGCTGCGTAGCACCGGTTGGTTCGTTGACACTTGCGCTGCATGGAGGTCTTGTACTCGAGGCGCGCCCGCTTCCACACGACCACGTCACGGCGGGCGATACTCTTGAACTCCGGGCGCACAAGCTGCGAGAGCACGACGACGCCGCTTGTCCTGGAGCCGCCATCGTGTTGCGACCCGAGATCGTCTTTGTGAGCGCGTAGTGGTTCGCTGACGTCAACTTTGTGACAGACAACACCAGACAAAGGGAGGCCGTACTCCCAAACACCGACGTGTGTACTTGAATGCAAGTAGGAAACTAGAGCTAGCTGACTGCTGAAGCCCTGGCCACAGGCTCCTGTACAGTCCCATCGCAACGGTTTTTCGGTAGGACTACCAGTGATAGATACAAACACCTCGCTTTGTCTCGACCTAGTGGTTTGAAAACCGTGTAGATATGAATATCCAGTGCTCAACCACTGTATGAGGCAGCAACTGCCACAGACTGTAGTAGCTCTTCGCAGCGTGGAGACGGATTGGGAAGAAACGGGCCGTGATATCTGTCTGTCTCGTCATGCCACCGATATCTTCGATCCACGCTGCAAAGCTCTACCGCATTTACGAAAAGGAGCTCGCCAAATACCTCGAGGCGCCCGCCAAGAAGAAGGACGACCAAGGAAACGAGATCAAGCCTTCGCCGGAAGATGTCGCCAACGGCACGAAGGCTTGGTCCATCATCTTCAGCATGCTGATCAGTTCTTGAGTGAGGGCGATGATGTTGGTCGACGTGGTTGCCTCAGCGCTTCGTTCAGCGCCTTGGTGACCTCGTACGTCGCCGTCTTGCTGTTCGCGTACAGCCGATGCACCGGACGTAGCAGCATGATGAAGATGATGGACCGAGCCTTTATTTAGTTGGCGACATCTTCCGGCGTAGGCTTGATCTTGTTTCCTTGGCCGTCCTTCTTCTCGGCGGGCGCCTCATCAACACCGCTTTCCGCCTCTAATGCCAGTACGCACGGAATCGTGGCGGTACCGACGCCCATTTGAGGCAACAAGCAGTGTTGCGAGGCGCTTTACGAGCCATAACGACTACGGTAGAGATGTGCTCAATAAGGTGCGCCGTCGACCGAGTGCATATGTCAGCAGTGTTTTCGTGCCACGTAAGGACACAGTGCTCGAAGTCCTCGACCAGCGATAGTCGGGGTAAATGGAGGTCACATCGACACCATACAAACGGTCAAGTGTCGGTTTCGACCTTAAAAAAAGGCAGCAGTGCCATGGACACCGTGGACTTGGCCGCGCTCCGCGAACAGATCGCCGCGTCCAAGCAGCCGCGTCGCAACCAAGATGAGGACGAGAGCAACAACAACAACGAAAATTGCAACCGGAGCCACGACGAGCGGCGCCCGTTTTCGCTTACGTCCGCAAGTGCACCGGAGAAAGCGTCCGCCGAGCCGCGCCGACGGCACCACGGCGACGCCTTGCCATGGCCCGAGATCACGTCAGACGCGGTCGCGACCGTCGCATCAACGCTTGCGAGCATGTACCAGAGCGTGCTCGAGAGCCACGAAGAGTTTGCCTTGTACCTCGAGACAGAACCGTTCGACATCGAGCTACCGGATACGTTGTTGCATTCGACCAGAGCGCACCACGAGAAGGTGCGCGAGTTTCTACAAGACGCAGTCGCACGCTGCAGATCCGATTTTGAGGCACAGATTACCGACGTCTGTGCGTCACTCCAAGAGGCGTTCGACACGCAGGCGTCTCATGTCGACCGCGAGGTCCGGCACCAGCGCGACCGGACGACGTCGTCGCTCAAGCGCAGCCGCGTCGCGATCCAGAAGCAAGTCGATCACTTTACCAACCTCGAAGCGTGTTTGCGCCGGCACGAGATGCACCAGCTGCAAGCGCTTCACGACGAAAAGATGGCTCGCGCCCAGGCCGACTGGGACGAAAAGGAGAAACGGTACAACGCGTAGTAGCAGTGTATCCAGGGACGATGCACCGTCGATATCTCCTAGGCACCGCGACATGCTTCTGCAGCAAAAGTGCGCGATCGGCGGCATCGAGCGCACCAACAAGATGCTCACGACGATGGTCGACGACGCGCACGCCGAAGTCGAAAGACTCAAACACCTCATGCACAGCCTTGACGTCCGCAAGACGACGTCCAACGTCATCTCCGAGGTCTACGTGAACTCTCTGCGAGACTCGGCGCGCCGCGCCAACGAAGTTGCAGACGCGTACGTTGAACGTCGTCCATGGTATCACGATACAGAGGTTCTCGTAGCCTGCGCCTGGATCTCGAAAAAGTGCAGCGCGATGCAGACGCCGTCGCAGCAACCAACACGCACCTCCAGTCGCTCGTGGCCGACCGCGACACAGAGCTTCAGAAAGTCCGCGCGCTCCTGACCGAGTCGAGCCAAGAAATCATGACCTTACACAGTACGTTCAAGCTACCGAATGATAATTCCACCAATGGAGCCTAGACATCAACGAGGTGACAGGCGACGATCTTCGGGAAGCCAAAGTCCGAATCCAGGATTTGTGCGTCGAGCTTGACGCGATCAAGGTACCACCTTCAATCGTCTTCCAAGCCCTCTCTCATGTACCGAGTGCGTAGGTCGATTTGGGCGCGCAGACGGAGCTGGTGACGGCAGGAGACGCCTACGTGGCGCAGCTCACGACGCGTGTGGCCCACCTCATTGACCAAATGAACGCTCTACTGACCGAGCACGACAGCGCGCGGGCGACGTGGGCCACCGAGAAGGACGAGCTGACGCAAGAAGTAGCGAGTTTGCGAGCACAGTTGGCCGCCCTGCCTGGGCCCGACCCGACCGAAAAAGCCGTCCAAAGCATCTACAAGCCAGCGAGTAAACCATTGCAGCTGACCACCGTCGCAGCCGTGTCGCGCAGTGTGCAGCGACTCAAGTCCCCGCTCAAGAAGAGCCACCAGTACCGAGGCAAGCCCGAGTACGAGTCGGTGGCCCGCGTGCTCGAGCAAGAGAAATTTGACGTCCCTCCCGAGCGCGTCGAGCGGTGGGATTTGAATGTAAAAAATGGGTTTCAATCCTAGGGCTAGGGCGATCTTGCTCGAGGCGACGCTGCGGGAGGCGATCACGTGCCAGCTCACGTACGAGTTCAAGCGCGCGTTCTCGACGCAGCTCCAGAAACGACTGCAACTCGAGCGGTACATTTTGGACCAAAAAGTCGACGTTGTTTTCAACAAGTACCTCACCGACGAGCGCGCAGCACGTAAAAAGAGCGGCGGCCAACTCATTTGCCGGAAAAAATCCAAGAAAGCCCTTGTCGACGCCACAGTGCCCATCCGCCGCGTCAGAGACTTTATCAGCCAGAGCTACGAAGCCATGGGCGTCGCCGAGTGGAACGGCGAGGACATTGCGCAGCTCCAAGACGACATCAAGCAGCTCCAAGGGGTGATTGCAGACCTCCAAACGGACGCAACGCAGCATTTGGCGCGAATTCAAGCGCAGCAACTGAGCCTCGCCGAGGCCGACCTCTTCCAGAAGGAGCGCGACTTGCTCATCGTGGGCTTGACCGAGAAGCTCCGCGTATTGCGGGCCGAGGCCGACGCTCTCAAAGTGCAGCTCGCGCGCTTCGAGCTGCAGCCGTCGATGCCCCAACTCTTCAGCGACGCGGGCAAGAAGCTGCTCGATGTTCGAGGCCAGCTGCCCCACGTGGACTCCCGGCCAACGTCATCAACGACCCCAAGCGCGAGGCCCATGTCAGCCGTGCCAACGCCCACCAAAGCCAAGATGCCGTCGGGAAAACGCCGGCCAATGACATCGCGGAGCCACGGGGTTGGCGCGCCGCCCGAGCACGCGCGAAGTGTCTTGAAGCGCGACCTGCTCATGCCACGCGTGAGTTCAAATCTCACGTCGACACCCGAAGAGACGCCACAGAAAGCGGGAGGCACGTTTGTGGCCAGCCTCTGGGTCGGCGAGGCCGGGGTACGCTGCTAATACCGATCTTCTTTCATTGATCGAACCGACGTGAACTTGTAGATGCAGCATATTCTGGACCGACGACGTCGTCGAAAAGCGTGACCAAGTTATGTGCTCAAATGCCGAGCCTACTTTGAAAGCCAGGCGCGATTCGCGTAGTATAAAGTTGGGTGGCGCGAGATAACATTTTCATTATGTATCATCCAACCAAATGCCACAAGAAGGTTGGGAGCGGCGGACCGTCACAATTACTGCAATAGTATCCAAGAAACAAGAGCGCAACAGCTATTATTTGGTTGACCTTGCAGCCCTGACCCCGCTATTTGACGACGATTCTATTATGGTCGACTGGTATAATGTAATGCTTCGACTTAATGCCCCATGTCTGACTGAACACTCTTCGCTTCAAGATGCTGAAGCGGCACATGGAGAGTTGGCGTACGAAGAGGCTTAGTGTCGTTGCTGCGACGCCGTCACAAGCTCTATGCCACCAAACGACGTGACGCACGGTCGTTCATGTGCGACGTACCGTGTAAAAAGTGCAGCAGAGATGGATTGGTGACGATGTGAAGGGGCGTCTTGCCTTTGAAGTTGCGTAGCTGCAGCGAGTAGAGGTCAGCATCAGCGTGCAAGAGCACCTTGACAACAGTCGAGAAGCCACCGCGACACGCGAGATGCAGCGGCAAGTCCCCACTGGCGTCCTGTATCGTCCAGTCGGCACCCGCACTCAAGAGCAGCTTGACCATGTTGGCGTTGCCAGCGCTCGCGGCTTCATGCAACGGCGTCAACCGAGAGACGCTGTTGTCAACCAAGTTGACGTTGGCGCCCAGCGAGATGAGCATTTTTGCTTTTGGGAGATACCCGCGCGCCGCCGCCAAATGCAGCAAGGTGTCGCCCGCGCCGTTGCGGTCCGAGACGACGCGCTGCTGAATCTCAGCAGGGGATATGGTCGGTGGTAGATGCAGCTGTCGCCAGTGCTTGGCCCACTTTGCACTGGGATGGTCGGCTTGTAGGGTTTCGTACTTGACTCGGCGGGCCGCGTTGGCCTCGGCTTCGTAACGCCCAGGCTCGTTGAAGAGGTCTTGAAGGTGCTTCTTGACATCGTAGCCAACAATTTGGCGACCCATGACGTCGAACGTCGAGTATGGCGCCGATTGCAGCTGCAGCGCGACAGCGCGCTTCTTGGCCTCGCGGGCGTCATGTTCTTCTTGGAGAAGGTGCATTTTGAGCTCCTTGTGCTGCGCAATGGCTTCGATGCAGTGGTAATACTGGTTGGATGCCCGGTTGTAAATCGTCTGCCACGACGCCAGTTGCGCCCGGGACGCAATGCGAGACTCGCTTTGACGCACGAGGGGGCGCGGGGGCTCGGTGCGCGGTGTCGTCACTACCGAAGCTGGCGCTAATGTCGTCTCGACTGTTTCTGCTGACGTCGGTGCCATGGGTGCTGGCACTTGTGTCGGTGGTGAGGGAGCTGGTTCTGGTGTCGGTGGCAAGGAAGCTGGTTCTAGAATCGGCGCCACTGGTGCAGGTGAGTCGTGAGCGAGACCAGATGCTGTCACCACAGCACGCGCGGATATCGGTATCGGCGTAGTATCTGTTCGAGGACTGGCCTGTCTCGGAGAAGGACTTGCAGAAGGCATACTGCGAGAAGACATCGACGGTTCCGGCGCGACTTCAGCAGCAACAAAAGCTGCCACGGGCTCTACCGACGCGGTGGCGTCTGGTACTGGCGAAGCGGTGTCGCTGGGAACGGACTGTGTTGCCAGGCTGCCATCACTCGGCGGTACGACGGGTAAATCCTCTTGAGGGAGCGCAGTCATTGTAAGTGGCGCCACGATGCCTTCTTCGCTCTCAGGATCTAGCCGACTTGATTTTGGAGGGTTCAAAGGCACCGCCGAAGCGTCCGTTGCATCAGGCAGCACGTCTTCGTCATTCTCTAACGCGCGGTCTTCCTCCATAGTATCGATACGAGCCGACCCGACGACTTCCGCGTTCGGTGTCGCTGGCAGCGGGTCGTTCACCGCGACTCGTGTTGCTTCCAAAAAGGCATCAGCGACGTGTTCGCTCTTTGCCGCAGGCTCTGCGCCTTGGCTGCTTCGATGGCTTGGAAGCGGCGTCGTCGAGAAGGCGTCGTAGCGGCTCTGGCTGCTTCGGTGGCTAAGCAACGCTACGTCATCCGCCTGATGCGCGCTCTCGGTCGTTGAGGGCTCTTTGCGCACCGAGCGGGCGCTTGTGTTGCTCCGTGAAGAGAGTGGTTTGGTCTCGGCCGTTGGCCGCGCAGCATCCAAGAGCCGGCTTTGCTCGAGAATGTCGTCGTTCTGCTGCATCTCGTCGTCACTGTGTTCATTCGCTTCAAAGACCGCCGTCGCCTCAAGCGCCTCAAAGTTGAAGGACCCAGTCTTCGCGAGCCCTCGACTTTTCGGCGATGTCGATGACGCCATGTCCGAGTCGAGATTCGCAAAGAAGGACGGCGACGCGCTCATGATGTGCAGCATGCTCGCGGGCGGTGGTCCGATCTTGTAGATGCTCTTGGGACGATTTAGCAGAGCTTGGAGCTTGGCATCTTGATCCGGCGGCAGAGCGAGCGACGCGACCACGTCGGGCGTCAACACTGCGTGCACTTGCGGGTCCATCGCCGACTGCGGGTGCGACGTCGAGAGGGCGAGCGTGTACTGATTGACGTACGTTGCCGCGTCAGTGTCGGCGGTTGCGGGGCGAATCGAAACCCACTCCGGCTCGGTTGGGAGCTCCCACCGGCTCTCGTTCGTGCGCTTGTTGACATAGTACGTGTGGCCCGAGCCATAGACGTCGACAATTTCTTCCCACTCGCTCGTGTTCGCCGGCGCCTCCCACGACACCTCGCCCGTCGTCGCGTGGACGTACACCGCCTTGCCGTCGTCATCGACGACGATGTTCCACTCGGCCGACGCCATAGAGTAGTTGACGTTACGCGGCCAACCGACACTTGTCGATTGGGATGATCAACCAAATGCAGAACTGCGCAGTGTCATCGTGGAAATGCGAGGACACTTGGAGGCTTTATAGCTATGCACAGCGTCTTTATAGCAACATGCAGTGGGTTTACAGCCCTAGTTTAGTGTTGAAGCGGTCGACCTTGTGTCATCCTGGATGAGCCACCAACCGCTCAATGGTGTTTGTGGAAGATATATTTACCTAGATCGCTGCGCCACCGAGCGGCAGTACGCAGGTACACGCCGAGTGTCCTCCTCTTTGTCGACATGTCAGAGCGCACACCACTGTTGTACAATCTTGTCGATGCTAACGGCTGCATCGAATTTATCTAACGTTAACTAAGCTGCTGGGAATCTTGGCGGTACGGTATGGTGGCTTCTGATTGGCTAAAAAGTTGCCGGGTTTCGTTCGCGGCCAACACAGTTGTTGCGAGATGTCCAGCAGCGCGAGTGACGAGCGCCGACGAAGCAGTCTCGGTGGCTCGACGCCGAGCCCGGGCGCCCGCTTCCTGAGCCCACTCAAGCGCAAGCATTCGCTTGATAGCGGCCTCGGGTGCCAACGCCGCCAGCGCAGCCGCCTCGTGCCTGCCAAGGGCAGCACCGCGAGCGAGGCCAGCCCCGTCCTGCGCCGAAGGAAGAGCACGAGCTTCGTTGGCGACGTGACGCTGACGCATATTCCGGCTTCGACGCCACTTCGACAAGGCAAAAGCACCGTCGATGACACCGATTCGACCCGGATCAAGTCGGGTACTGCAACCAAGCGCATTATGGCCTATAAAGTTGACGCGCCGCCTTGCCTAGCCCCTGCAGACGATCCGCGCAATGCGACGCACGCCAGCACAGCAACCTCGCTTGGACGACCCCCGCGGGTACCGTGTGAAGAAGTCGATACAGTGAGCGCATGCGGCGCATCCCAAGATGAACCCGTGGACCTCTCGATGCTGCCGAGCGACAGCGACAGCTCGGACGAGGGAATGTCGCCGCCAGGTCCAAAGCACGAGCTTGTACCGTCAAGCCCCACGACGAGCGCGTCCGACACTGCGTGGCTATCCGAACACGCTCCAACGTCGTTGAACATGCTGCGGCACGACGACGTGGCCAAGCTCATATCGCTCCTCACCTCGGGCACGGACATCGCTTTGATGGTGGACTTCCTCCACGTCCTTATCAAGGTAGATTCGATATGCGTTCTTCCATCGATCATCCGCATCTCCATCTAGAAAACGCTGGCGCTGTCGGATCGCTATGCGCTGGACGTGTACCGGGAGCACCACGAGTCCATCGTCCGTCTCCGGTACGCCGCCTCGGTATGTACCTCACTTTCTCAGCCCATTCGAGTAGACACATGGAAGGCTACGAGCGACTTCGCGCGGCCATACACGCGCTCTTGGTCGAGATGCACCGGCAGTGGGCCATCCTCACAGATACCACCTGCAGTGTCTAAGCCGCCGCGCCGTCTCCATTCGTTTATCTATATCTATTGGTCCGTCTATTACATGCAACTACGTCTTCACGTGTACGTTGACCGTCGAGCTTGCATTGCCCGCCTAGATCTTAGCGATTGCGCGGGCTGCCACGAAGTTCGAAGTTGACATCGCAGTATCTTGGCGACGGTTCGTACTTCGATGGAGTCGTTGCGGACGTCCAAGAGCATCGCGCAGAGCGAGCTGCAGCAGCTCAAGGAGACGCTTCGGCGGCTGAGCGCGGCCGACGACCCGACGACGAACCTCAAGCTGAGCTCGCTTGTGACACCGGCAACGCTCACGCCGACGACGCCCAAGGCTACGCTACGCCATGCGCCAACGACGCCGACAGGCGCGTCCAACAGCAAGGCCGTGCTCTCGGCGCTCAAGGCGCTCCAAGACAAGATTCGCCGCGTCGAGGACGAGCGCGCGACCTTGGAGGACGAGTGCGCGAATCTCCGCGCACAGCTACGGCTCAACGAAGGCCAACACGTGGCAGCAGCCAAGAAGACCGCGTACGAGCTCGAGCAGGTCAAGGACGCTGCGCGCGCTGCGTACGAAGCTTTGCGGTACGCTTTGCCAATTGCGACTGCATGGTGCGGATTGCTGTCTTAGCGCGGAGCGGGACGCGCTGCAGTCCGACGTCATACAGGCGCAGCACGACCACGCGATCACAAAGAACGAGCTCGAGCACGTGCAAGACATGCTGGCGTCGTACAAGGAGAAGCACGAGGCGCTGATGGTGCGTCTTGCTTTCTCCTAGCCGGGGATCCTCCATGTTATGCGTAGGAGCAAAACGCGATGCAAGATGCGCACGTACTACGCCTACAAACCGAAGTCGCCGAGATGTCATCGACGTCCAAGACCCGCGTCCACGAGCTCCAAGAGACGCTCATGGAAGCCACGCGCAGCAACAAGGAGGCCATGCGTCAGATTGCGATCCTCGAGGACCACGTCCAGCGTACAACAACGCACAATACGACCTTAGAAGGTCGCGCCCAGGAGGCCGAGGTACGCCCGCGCGAATCTTTCCGGCGCATCGTACCCATGCTAGCGCACGATCGCCCAAGTCTCGCAGCTCAACGAAAAGCTCGTCGTACGCATGTGGGAAGCGCAAGCCAAGGCCAAGGTCAAGCCCAAAGCCCCTAAACCGCCCCCGCCACCGGCTGTGAACCGGTCGACGGCGGCAAGTCGAGCATCGGCCGTGGCCGCGAGTTACCGGGGGATGTGCGCAGGCACTGTTAATGGCACCAAAGGCGCATCAGCAGTCACTGGCGGTCGTCTGCCAGCGCCGACAACAGCGCGAACACCGCCACCGCCCCGGAAAAAGAGTGTGAAAAAGCTCAAGTCGACCAAAGCCAAGACCAATTTAGAGCGCTTGGAAGAAGCCAACATGGCCAAGGTGCCATTTCTTCTGGGCACGGCGACGACTCCGTCGTTCTCGGTCATTGGAACAGCACAAGAGGCGCTCCGGGCGTCCGAACTCTACTCGGCCGTCGCGCCCGACGTCCACCGGCAACCAAGTCTCGACGCTGTCTCGCCACCGCCCCCGCCTGCCGCCACCGACCGTGCAAAGGGCCCTCCCACTTACAAGACGGGTGCACCCACGGAGCTTGAGATTGACGAGCCACCCGTGAGCAAAGTGGCGTTTTTGAACTCCATGTCCAAGGCCATTGCCAGCGTCCAGGATGAATTCACGCAACTGAACGAGCGCTACCAAGCCATCATGGGCAGCCTCGACAAGTCTCCGGACGCGACCAAGCGCATGGAAGAAACCATCGATGCGCTCGAAGCCAAAGGCGAGCAGCTCGCGCTTCTGCGGCAGCTCCACGCGCAGGTGCACTATGAACCCTTATCTTATGCTGAGATCGTGCGATGTGCAGGCCGCCAAGAATGCACTGTCAAGTACAACACGGCGTGTGGTACATAGCCCGGATGCCGCCAGGAAGAAGACGAAAGCGCTCCGCGTGCTTCACGAGTATCGGGAGCTGGACCGCCACATGAAGGAGCGCACGGCCGACGGCTAGTAGAGTAGATTTACATTAAATAGGGGAAAATTGCAGCAGGCGTGCCTCCATGTGGGTTGCGAAAAACGCAAGCGCGGCGATCGTCGAGGGGTCGGTCGTCACCGCTTGGGTCTCGGCCAGCGCCTGCAAGGCGTCGCGAAGCGCACTGGCGTCGGTCTGCGCGTCAATGAACGCCACGTCGTCTTGCCACGTGGGAAAGATGGACGCAATGTCTGACGGCGCTACCAGCTTCGTCTCGGGCTCCGCAGGACTCGCTTGCGGTTGATGCGGCGAAGGTGGACTCTCAAGCAGAGATGCGACAGAGATAGTTGCGTCGAGAGGCGTGGCGGCGTCCGCTTTCGGGCTGCTGGAAACAAGAGCCGCCATGGGCTCGTTCAGGTCCAGCGTCGTCGTGGTCTCGGAGGGACTTGTCGTTGCAGTCATCGAGAGTGCCTCGGGTGCCTCAAATGGTGTCGCTGTGGGTAAGACGTTGGGCACCAAGTAGTCGTCAGCGGCCCACTGGTCGCCTTGGGCTGCTTTGGACCACCATATGAGCGAATCCGAGGCGTCTCGAGGTCGCCACTGCACGCACGGCGGACGACGACTTGGAAGTGCCAAGGCTTGTGGGAACAGAAATACCCGCGCTTCATACGAAGCCACGTCGTGCAAGGCTGTGCGGACTGCGTCGGGGGGCAAAACGCGGGATTTCGCGACGCGTTTCGACTGTTTTTCGGACTTTTGGAGCTGCTTAAGGATTTTGGCGCGTTGTTTCTAGTGGCGAGAGGCAAGTGAGAACACGCTATTGTGGAAGAGCAACCTGAAGGGTTGCGATCTGGGCGTCAATGGCGGCGAGGTCCCGCGTGAGCAGCGTCTTGTTGACTGTCGCTTCGAGTTCGTCGTCGACGAGCGACTTGGAGAGCGCAAGTGCAAACTCGACTTGCTCTTGGTTGATCGATTTTTGTTTCTTGGCCTTTTTCGCCTTGGGCTGCGAGTCCAAGCACGCATTCACGTGCAAATGACGCTCCTAAGCATCGTGCTCTACGTCGTCAACCCTTTCCAGCGGCGCTATCTACCTCGAACGAGAGCCCGTAGAGCGATCCGCGGCATACAACGCACTCCTCGTGCTCGATAGGACCCTCGGCGGCGACGATGTCGGGCTCGCGAGGCTTGGGGGCGGCGCAGACGGCGCAGACGACGTCGATGCGAAAGGCCAGAAGTGACGCGCCGGTCGTGAGCGTGTCGCCGTCGCGCAGTGGCGTCGGCGTCCGCGGCGGAATTGGCTTTTCGTTGATCTTGGTGCCGTTGGTGCTGCCAACGTCGATGACGACGAAGCGGCCGAGGCTAGCGTCGTGCGCAATGCTGGCGTGGCGAGACGACACGTCAAAGTCGGACGCGAGGAGGAGGCCGGTATCGCCGACGAACTTCTTGCTGCGGCCGATGGCAATGGCGCTGGACGTTGGCGCGACCATCGCGCCCGTGTGGGGGCCCATGAGCACCTCGAGCGACGCGAGGCAGCCACAAGTTGTCGTCGTCGTCTCCGTCATCCTCGCATACCGAAAAGTCTGCACTGCTTGGTGATTGGCCAAAAGAAGCACTGGAATGCACCAATCACGAGTCACGCTTCGGGCACCGTTTTGGCGCGCAAAAAAGCCATCGTGGATTTACAGTGTTAGATAGGTAACATCGTATTTCTTGTACAATATTGTTGTTTAAAAAAAGAAAAAAATATTCTGACGGCACGTGAGTGTACGGCGACAGCTCCGATTGCCCTGGACATCCAGCAGGGGGTCCATGAAGCTCTGATCAACCATCGCTCGCTGCCAGCAGACAGTGGAAGCGACCATTGAATAGTGCTGTTCCATAAAGGGACCATTCCCAATTGCAGAGTATACCCATCCGTACACGCGCCGCTAGCATACCGGTTCCAGCCGAACCGCGTCGATAGCCAACTAGTCTCGGCATATTCATGTACAAGCATATATCCCAACCGCCCAGCAGTTCGAAATCTAGAGTGCTAATCTCAAACGACTTGTGCAGCTGTGCCGCAGGAATGGGCGCTCAAAGGGTAAGGACCTTCGCTTCTCCGATACTGGTACCTCTGACTGTGGGCAAGGGGTGCATAAAAGATTATAACCCCTGGCTACAAAAACGGCGACAACGTTTCCAATATGGACGTGGTATGTTGGACCCGCCCGTTGGCCGCGCGATTGGCGCGTAAAAATACGAATCTATTTATAGCATGCGGGTTGTGATTGGTCGAAAGAAATGGGCTCCCGTGGCTCACTTTTGAAGTTGCACCGAGGATGCCGGACGACGGGGCGTGCATTAGCGGGTACTTGAACAAGATGAAGCACGAGCAAAAGGTGCTGACGCCGTCCTGGAACCGCCGCTGGTTCGCGCTCGACGGCGCCGAGCTCAAGTATTTTGGCGCCAAAGACAGCATGATCCCGTCCAAAGTCATTGACCTCTTGTCGATCGAGAGCGTCCGGCCCTTCGACACGGGCGACCACGGCGTCTACAGCTTTGTGCTCAAGACGCCGTCGCGCAGCTACTTTCTCCGGGCCGACTCGGAAGGCGACATGAAGCGCTGGGTCCGCTGCCTCCGCGAACAGCAAGACCTCTGGCGAGAAAAGTCCCTCGAGACGCCGCGCCGCGCCTCCAAGCTCAAGCTCTACAAGGAAATACCCCGCCCCCCGTCGCCAGGCAAGTCCAAGCGCGGTGATCACGAGAACGAATCCAAATACGATGACGAGCCGAGACGTCCGATGAAAGGGGCCAAGAAGGGCTCGGTCCGAGGCTAAGACCAAACCATAACGCTATTATTTCGACACCAAGGCAAAATTGAGTCTGTCAATATACTTGCCTCACAGCGTCTTTGACTGTATTCCGCACCCGAGCTCAGTGCTGGCATGGCTCAACCTGTCCGTCATCAACATGGTGGTCAAGGTGGTTAGCTCATGTGGCGTGTTTTTATACTCCAGACATGCAATACATTACGACTGAGAGGCCAACGTATTATAGAGGCTAGACACACGCAACTGAAAATCCAATACTTGGATCAAGTATAGTGCTAGCGTTTCAGTTTCGATCTTTTGGGAGGATGGACGACGGCAAGATCCCGCTCGACGACTCGCCGTCCGATGCGCTGGTAAGCTGCTCGCCAAGCGCCATGCTTCCTCATCCTCCGTAGCTCCGCCGGCGGTACCTGGCGCTGCTCAGCGGGCTTCCGATCATGGGTAGACGTGCCAGGCATGACGAGGCCATGCATGCAGCTAACATCAAGGTCTCTAGACAAGCGAGGTCGACATCTCACGTGTCGGTACGAGCGGCTAAAGGAGCTCCAGCGCATGGTTATTGTGCACGGCCTGCCCATGGAGTCGGACGACGAGGCCTCGGGCGTCGAGCCATCGACGCTGCGCGGGCGCGTCTGGAAAGTGCTCCTCGGGCTCGACGACGATGCGAGCGAGCGCAAGCAAAGCTACCGGCGCTTCGTCGCCTTGGGCCCGAGCAAGAACGACGACGACATTCGCAACGATACGTTCCGAACGTTCCGAGGCGACCCGAGCTTTGCGCGGCGCGTGCCCGAAGACACGCTCGTGCGCCTCCTCAACGCCTTCCTCCAAGAATATGTGCTGCACCATCAACGAATCACACAAAGATGCAAGCGATGACGTAGGGCGCGGTCATGGACGACGGGCGTGACGAGGCCGACCAGCCGTACCGGTATTTCCAAGGCCTCAACATCCTCTGCGCGCCCTTTCTGTACGTGCTGCCCGAAGACGATGCGTACATGGCCTTTGCCGCGCTCGTGACGCAGCACTGTCCGCGGTACGTTGCGCCGCAGCTCGCAGGTGTCCATGTCGCGTGCGGCCTCGTCGATCGCTGCCTCCAGACGGTACACGCCTTCAACGCGAAATAGACTGTGTGAGGCATACTACTACAGCTGGACTACAAGTTGTACAAACACTTGGTGACAAGAGGCATTACGGCCAAGATCTACGCCTACCCGATCGTTCTTAGCTTCTTCGCGTGCATCCCGCCGCTGCCTGAGCTCCTCCATGTGTGGGACACGGTACGTGGAAGACCCGTCGTCGGCGCTCATGAAGCGGAACTAGCTCTTGGCCATGGGGGTGCATTTCATCGTGCTTCTCAGTGCAGCCCATGTCATCCTCCTTCGCACCGAGCTGCTGACGACGTACGAGCTTACGTCTTTGATTGCAGTTGCGAATGGACGTGTAGCGAGACTCATCTCATGAACAAACTCAATTTGCGCGAGTCGCCGCCGCTCAACGCCAAGCGCCTTGTGTACGTGGCGCTCCAGGTACGACCGCGAGAACCATGCGGCTTGTCGCTATTCAGTGCGTGGAATAGCTGCTGCAGCGCCTGCCTGAAGAGCTCTACTGCGAGATCGCTCGACATCCATTCGAACGGCCCGACACGTTTGCAAGCATTTGCCTGCCGCCCGCGACGTTGGACATTGTGCTCGAGAAGGTCAAGCGCCGGAAAAAGTCATCGGCCGTTCGGCGCGCGGGCGACGTCAAACCGCCGTGGAAGCTGTAGCTCGTACATAATAATGCAGGTCTCTATTCATAGTATTGGTCCAAGTAATATCGTACACCGTGTATCGGGATATGCGCATCTAGGGCTGCGGCGGCAGGCGCGACGACATCTTTTCGTCCATGAGGATCGCCTTGAGCAGCTTGAACTGAGCGTGCTTTTGGTCGATGAGCTCCTGGAGCTTGGCTTCGAGCACCTACGTCGTGTGTTCAGACGCGACTGGTCCGCACTGCAATGATCGCACCTCGAGTTCCTTATCCTTGTCCAGTTGAGCGCTGTCGGCCTTCCGCGCCGCCTTCTCGCGCTTGGCGGCTTCATCCTCGATGGTGTCGCTACTCGGCGCGGCCTTGCTCGGCGACGATGCCAGCTTGGCTTGCTGCTTGGCGCGGAGCTGCTGCACGTAGACCTTCCGCCATGGCCCTTGCACGCAGCGCCGGCGGATGCATCTACGCATGGCCATGAGCATGGTCGAGACGGCAGAGACGGCGTACGTTCGAATGCGCTCGTACTGCTCGGGCGCGATGTACGGTGCTTGGACGCGGTAGTGGCGCATGCTGCTCCCGTTTCTTCTGGCCGCGCTGGAATCCAATTGGGCCGTGGTCGAAATTTATTCGTGGAGAAAATATCCTGTCAAAATTAATATGCGCAACGGGTGCATAGCTGCGCACGACTGGCTCGAGCAGTGACCAGAGGTGCACTGTGGAGCGTACCGGTACTATTGGAATTGAAGGAGGTGCAAACGACAGTCTCGTAGTGCTCCAGGATAACGCACTAGCGGGTATCGACGCGGGTCTATGTCCTGGGTGCCACTTGAAGTTGCCGTTCGCATGCGCTGCCACGTGGCGCTGGATACGCCGGAGGACTTCGATAGTATCATTTTGGAGAGGTGAAGTTTGACCAGCTAGCTCGCTGGACGAGGGTGGACGCAGTGACTCACTGCCATTCACTCTGAATGAGAGAAGGTACAATTGGACGCTCACTCGTGCGACACATCTCGGCAAACTCGCAAGCTCTTGTGCTTGGAACTTCTTCCGCGCCCAATCACAGAGGTCGCAATTGACATTGCGTGGTGGACAACACACAATTGGACCGCAGTTCCTTTATAAAGAATAATTTCATAAATGAAACATAGGCGGTCTTAGTCGCGGAAGGTCAGCGATTCGTAAGTAAACTTTTGCAAGTCATTGGCGGGGGTGTTGCACTCCCAGAGGTACGGCCTCGTACCAAACTCCATGTTGAAGTCCGGCGTCGACATATCGAGGCAAAAGCCAGTGTGCGTCGCGTGGCGCAGCTGGCCCGTCGTCGGGTCATAGCGCCATTTTTGGTTGCCGTTGTCGGATTCGCAAAAATACGTGTGGACTGCGCCCCCGTTCCAGGGTTCGTACGCGTCCAAGCATTGGTTTCGGCTGAGGCGCGAGGTCGCACGCCACGTCAAATCGCCGTTGAAGACTTCCCACTCGAACGGCTCGCCCCAGACGTTTACAAAGCGCGGGATGCCACTGGAGCTTGTGAGGTACCGACCGTTGAACGATTTGAGCTTGACCGCGTCTCCGGTAACCACGATGCGCTGGTTGGGTGCATCGTCGTGGCAGGTCCACACCTGCACCTTGTTGTCCTGCGTTGGGTCGACATCGAGGCACA